CTGCAGAACTGGCCAGGGCTTTGTCTGGATGCCCTGCCCAGAGAGGTGGACACCCTTAGAATCACACCCACCCCATTCCAGAGTCCAGAGCACTGGCAGCAGTATTCCCTCCCCTCCACACTTGAGCAGGCAGAGAGGCCCACACTGTAGCCACACCGGCCACAGAACCCCTACCCTACAGGCTCACAGTGCTGCCAAGGATGGCAGCGTACCCTGGCGCCTGGCTCCCACTGGCCACGCTGGCCCTGGGCAGCCGGAAAGCGTGATGTACAACACGCGGCACCTTGGGTCAGCTCCCCAGATGTGGGCCCTGTCACCCCCTCTCAGTACTGGGTCCTCCTCTGCATGGAAAGACGATGAGGAATTTCCCCTTTGCCCTCAAGTTCTTTTCTGAAATGTTTTTAATAAGTACATATAATTTTAGGATCAAAAATTATATGTACTTATTAAAAATAAATCTATTTTGATTTATTTTTAAATCAATTTTGAAAAGACAGTATCTGAGGTCCCAGGCCCCTCCCTATCCACCAGAGAAGCTCCCACCAGCCCAGGTTTTCTCAGAACCACAAGCCTCCCCTATCTAGCTCTGAAGCTGTCCTTGGCAGTCTTTTCTGCTATCTGACCACTGTAGGTCATGCTGCAGTCTCTGAGGCAGAGCAGCAGCCTTCCCACATCCTCGGAGCTAGGGAATCTTGCCCAGGGGTCCCTCTATGAGCTGGCCCTGAGAGGATCCCTGTCCCCCAAACTTTTAGCAGCTACATCTCCAAAACGCCAGAAATCTCAGACACTCACCGAGAACGGCCTGCTGCCTGTCTCAGGGAGCCAGATCAGAGCCAAGTGCTGCCCCCTCTAAGGGCTCCCAGCAGCCTCACAGTGGCCAGCACTGAGAAGGGAGGGGGCAGAGAACAAAGGCCAGAGCAGGGCAGGGCTGCATTTCACCGTCTGCCACTGGGCTGAGTCTGGCCTCTGTCCCGAACTCCATGACCCCAGGTGAGTCGCTGTCTTCCTCTGAGCCTCAGTTTCCCATTTGTAAAGTGGGAAGGATATCTGTCTCACAGTCTCCAGTTAGCTGTGAAGGGACACTGGGTCCTCTTTTTGTGCAGTCTAAACCCCTGGACATGCTGAAGAGGTGACTCATCCTGACCCCTTTACTCTCACCCCAGCCTGGAACCCTGACACCCACACCTCAGAAGTGACCCTGGGTACCCACGGCCAGCCACACAGCCAACGCTGCCCCATTCGGGGCTTGAGCCGCAGCTCGTGGTGGGGATGGCTCTGGGGACCCTGGCAGGTGGCAGGCAGCAGGTTGCACTGGGTCCTGCCTCCAATCCTGCTAAAAATAAGCAAAATAGCCGGGTGTGGTGGCTCATGCCTGTAATCCCAGCACTTTGAGAGGCCAAGGCAGGTGGATCGCCTGAGATCAGGAGTTCAAGACCAACCTGGCCAACATGTTGAAATCCGTCTCTACTAAAAATACAAAAAAAAAAAAAAAATTAGCCGGGCATGGTAGCGGGTGCCTGTAATCCCAGCTACTCCAGAGGCTGAGGCAAAAGAATTGCTTGAACCCAGGAGGCAGAGGTTGCAGTGAGCTGAGATTGTGCCATTGCACTCCAACCTGGCGACAGAGTAAGACTGTCTCAAAAAACAAAACAAAAAAAAAATCTGCCACCCTTCCTGCACTTGGGCTGCGTAAGGGCTTCCGGTAGATTCCCAGGAGGTCCCAGCTAGGGTGTGCGTGAGATCTTTCTGCCCACCTCTGTCTGCCAGGCCTGGCTCCAAGCTTCCCAGCCTGAGACTAGCCGAGGATGGGGGGTGCCTTGGTCAGGAGTGGCTGCCAGGGCTGCCAAGCCCGGCCCAGGGCTCGTTACAGAGGCTGGACCATCTCAAGGTCACCGGAGGACAACCCTCCAGGCCAGAGACCAAGGCTGCAGGGTAGGCAGGGGCTTTCTACGAGAGAAACCCATAGGCCACGATTGCTGTCACTGCGGCTGAGGAATGCCACCTGGAAGTCAGCCAGACGGGAGGGCAGAACATGCCCAGACCTGGTCCTCAGACCCGGGTTGGAATCGTGACTCTCCCACTGTGATCTGGGACCAGGCCGCCCACTGGGCCATCAGTTTCCTCACCTACAAAACAGCATCTCACCACCTCCTGCCCAGTCAGCCCCAAAGATTTGAGGAGAGGCTCTCCATTAAAACATATCAATATATTATAGAATATACAACCATATACGAAGGTGGAGAGAATAATTTAACAAATCCCCACATACCTAGCACCTATCACCAAGCTTCAACCAATGTCAACTCATGGCCATGCCATGACTATGCCCACACCCTCTCCCTTAACCTCTGGATTTTATTTATTTTATTTTATTTTATTATTTTATTTTTGAGACAGAGTTTCACTCTTGTTACCCAGGCTGGAGTGCAATGGCGCGATCTCGGCTCACTGCAACCTCCGCCTCCTGGGTTCAAGCAATTCTCCTACCTCAGCCTCCTGAGTAGCTGGGATTACAAGCATGTGCCACCATGCCCAGCTAATGTTTTGTATTTTTAGTAGAGACGGGGTTTCACCATGTTAACCAGGATGGTCTCGATCTCTTGACTTCGTGATCCACCTGCCTCGGCCTCCCAAAGTGCTGGGATTACAGGCTTGAGCCACTGTGCCCGGCTATTTATTTTATTTTTTGAGACAAACTCTTGTTCTGTGGCCCAGGCTGAGTGCAGTGATATAATCAGGGCTCCCACAAGCCTCAACCTCCTGGGCTTAAACGATCCTTCACGTCAGCCACCCAGGTAGTTGGGACCACGGATACATGTCACCACACCTGGCTAATCTTTTATTTTTTATTTTTGTAGAGAGAGGGCCTCACGATGTTGCCCAGGCTGGTCTCAAACTCCTCCCACCTCAGCTTCCCAAAATGCTGGGATTACAGGCATGAGCCACTGCGCCCAGTCACCGCTGGGTTATTTTAAAAACAAAGCTTCAGCATCACTCAATATACCCAGGAAATAAACCTGCACATGTACTGCCTGAATCTAAGATAAAAGTTGAAAAAAAAAAAAAAAAAAAAAAAAGAAAGAAAGAAAAACAAAGCTGAGACAACTTGTGATTTAACCTTTAAATACTTCACAATGAATCTCTTAAAGACTCAGAAAAAACCATAACCACAATACCATGACTACACCTTAAAAAGTTAACCATAATCCTTCAATATCATCAAGTATCTATCTCATCAGAATTCAAATTTCCCCCAATTGCTCATAAATGCTTTTTAAGTTAGTTTGGATTTGAATCAAAGGTCAACACATCATTTGGTTGACATATGTCTAAATTTCTTGAAATCTAGAGATTCCCCATCTTTTCTGGTAATTTTGTTGCTGTTGAAGAAGAAACTGGGTTATCTGTTCTATAGAATTTCCCAATCTGGATTTTTGTCATTGTTTCCCTTGTATTTCCCGTAAACTCGTTGTTGAATCCAAGGAATCAGATTCAGGTTTGGAGTTTTCACAAAAACAATGACTGGTTGGGGTTCATGTGTCTGGCGAGAGGGTCTGTCTCCTGAGCTGAGCAGCAAGTTCAGGTGCAGCCAACCTGATACAATCTCATACATTTATTCAAGAGTTCTCATCAGGTAAGAGCTGAAACTAAAAAAGTCTTAGACAACACCAGGCGGGGTGGCTCACGCCTGTAATCCCAGCACTTTGGGAGGCCAAGGTGGGTGGATCACTTGAGGTCAGGAGTTCAAGACCAGCCTGGCCAACATGGTGAAACATTGTCTCTACTGAAAATACAAAAAATTAGCCAGGCATGGTGGCAAGCGCCTGTGGTCCCAGCTACTTGGGAGGCTGAGGCAGAACTGCTTGAACCCAGGAGATGGAGGTTGTAGTGAGCTGAGATTGCACTACTGCATTCCACCTTGGGCAATAGAGTGAGACTCCATCTCAAAAAAAACAAAACAAACAAACAAAAAAACCTCTTAGACAAAACAGACTGGCATGAGCAGTGGGCAGAGGCCAGACCCTACACTGTCTGTGTGGGCTTCGTTGGAGGCACAAGGGAGTGGTGGATTTCTATTTGGGAATGATCACTCTGCGTGTTGAAGGACATGTTGGAGAGGGAAGCCAGACACAGAGGGCTGAATGGTAGCAGGCTCCATTTGTATGGCTGTCTGGAAGGGGCAGAACTAGGACAGAGGTTTCAGGTTGGGGAGGAGGGAGAGGGGCTGGCAGTAGGGGGCACAGGGACTTGTTGGGGGATGGAGCTGTTCTGTGTCTCGGTGGTGGGGCTGGATGCATAGCTGTGTACGTGCTGGGGCCGACCGTCCCACCAGCTAGTCCAGGACCAGCTGAGGACAAGCATGCTATCCAACTCATCTCCAACTCCCGGGCCCTGCCAGTTACCTCTCTAAGCTTAGACTGTCAGAAAGGCTCTCTGGGATCATGGTATCTTGTGCATTCACTTACTTAACTAGCAATGACTGGGCACCCACCATGTGCCAGGCTGTATGGGGGGCACTGGAGACTCTCAGATAACCACGACGAGTCCTGCCCTCAGGGAACATCCAGGCCGGCTGGAACATGGCCTCGATCCATTTGACACTTTCACCAAGGCCTCCATGGGCGCCCGCCTTCCTGGGTCACCCCCACTTTTTTTTTCCAGGCAGGTTCTCACTGTCACCCAGGCTGAGTGCAGTAGCACAATCTCAGTTCACTGCAGCCTTGACATCCCAGGCTCAAGGGACAAGGGATCCTCCCACTTCAGCCTCCTGAGTAGCTGGGACTACAGGTGCACACCACCATGCCCAGCTCATTTTTTATTTTTTGTAGGGACGAGGTCTTGCCATGTTGCCCAGGCTGGTCTCTAACTCTTAGATTCAAATGATTCTCCTACCTTGGCCTCCCAAAGTGCTGGGATTACAGGCATGAGTCACCACGCCTGGCTGTGGTCCCCTTCTTGACTTCAGCCAGCCAGGCCTTGCCAGACACAACTCATAGGTATATCAAAAAATAATCTTTATTGTTACTAGTATAAAACAGAACGGATCAACTGGCCTCTCAGTCTCTACAAAGTGTGGGGCATGAGACCACCTGGGCTGGCACCACTTCTCCCATAATGCCCCGCCCTACAGCAGCACCCCAAGAGCTAGGAGAAGGGGAGGGGGCCACCCCAGGCCTTCCCTTGAGGAGAGGGTTCAAGAGTGGACTGGAGGGGGTGCTGTTTTCTACCTGAGGGAGGCAAAGAAGCAGAGGAGAAAACTGGAATGAGGGAACCCTCTGGCTCCTCATCCCGTCCCCAACTGCCACACCCGGAGTTCACTAGATGCATGGAGGGGTGGTGGGCAGCCTGAAGGCGGCTGAGGCGTGAGCCAGCCTGTGGCCAGGTCAGAGGGCCACCCGCGTGCAGCAGTGGCGCAGCAGGCACGGCAGGATGCCACGGTTCAGCTGGTGGAACTCCACGAGCTGCAGCAGGTCAGTGAAGCGGGTCTGGCCGTCGTCCATGCTGAAGTACAGGCGGCCTTCCTCCTCGCTCTGGGGTACAGTAGAGGGGGTGGGAGGTCAGGGAGGGGCCCGGGGCTTCGGGAGCTCCCTCCATAGCCAGGGCCCCATCCATTCCCTTTTATTCTCTTTTTCTTTTTCTTTTCTTTTTTTTTTTTTTGAGGCGGAGTTTCGCTCTTGTTACCCAGGCTGGAGTGCAATGGCGCGATCTCGGCTCACCGCAACCTCCGCCCCCTGGGTTCAGGCAATTCTCCTGCCTCAGCCTCCTGAGTAGCTGGGATTACAGGCACGCACCACCATGCCCAGCTAATTTTTTGTATTTTCCGTAGAGACGGGGTTTCACCATGTTGACCAGGATGGTGTCGATCTCTTGACCTTGTGATCCACCCGCCTCGGCCTCCCAAAGTGCTGGGATTACAGGCTTGAGCCACCGCGCCCGGCCTTCTTTTTCCTTTTTTGAGAAGGAGTCTTGCTTTGTCACCCAGGCTGGGATGCAGTGGTGCAATCTCGGCTCACTGCAACCTCTGCCTCCTTGGTTCAAGCGATTCTCCCGACTCAGCCTCCCAAGTAGCTAGGACTACAGGCTCGCACCACCACGCCCAGCTCATTTTTGTATTTTTTTAGTAGAGGTGGGGTTTCACCATGTTGGCCAGGATGGTCTCGATCTCCCAATCTTGTGATCTGCCTGCCTCCGCCTCCCAAAGTGCTGAGATTACAGGCATGCGCCACCACACCGGCCTGTTTTTGTTTTTGTTTTTGTTTTTGTTTTGAGACAGGGTTTTCTCACTCTGTCATTCAGGCTGGAGTGTGATGGTGCCATCATGGCTCTCATTGCAGCCTTGACCTGCTGGGCTCGAGCAATGCTCCCATCTCAGCCTCCTGAGTAGCTGGGATCACAGGTGCACACCACCATGCCTGGCTAATTATAAATTATTTGTAGAGATGGGGGGTCTCCCTGTGTTGCCTAGGCTGGTCTCGAACTCCTGGGCTCAAACCATCCTCCACCTTGGCCTTCCACAGTGCTGGGATTAAAGGTGTGAGCCATGGCACTCGGCCTTCCCCTTCTTGTGCAGGGAAAAGGGAGATGCACTGGGGGCCAGGGAGCCTCTGGAGGGCCTGGTGAGGCGGACAGGTTGCTGGGAGTCCCGGGTCTCATTGCAGGACTCCGGGGGGGGGGGGATGAGGGGATGCTCACCGGCAGGATGAGATAATGCTTCACTTTCTGCAGGTGACACAAGGAGAGGACAAAGCCCTGGGGGTTCCGCTGACTCTCCCGGACCAGGAACAGGCTGCCAGAAGACAGGAGAGAGGGCAGCGTTACCCGAGGGCCCTTGGCTGCCACCTGAATCCCGGTCTGTCTTATCCCTGGGTCTGCTGCCCGGCCCTGCCCCTTACCCGTCTACCAAGCCCTGCTGTCCAATGAGCCGCTGGCTCTCCTCACGGGAAATGCGCCCGTGGAACCAGAGTTGGGTGCGGTGGATGGCTGCGGTGGGGGAAGCACATGGGTGGTCACTTTGGGGAGGGGACCCCTATACCACCTGCTCACCCGGGAATGCTCAGAGAAGTTGAGGCAGCCCCCACCCGGGACTCTGGGGCTGTCACCCACCTGCACTGAGGCTGGTGCCGGAGGCCGGTGTAGGCAGGCTGAGGCGGTGGTTTGTCTTCTTCTGCGGAGCAGTGGGAGACACAAGAGAGTTAGGTGCATTTGGGGGCATTATCCCGCACCTCAGGGAGGTAGAGCACCTCTCCCCAGCTGGGGGCCCTCTCACCCCCTCTTCCTCCCTATCTCAGGGATCCTGCCCAGAAAGCGGGTCCCTCACGCAAACACACAGCCAGGCGCAGGCCTCACCCTCCAGGCCTGGGCCTCCTCCAGGGCCACACTCAAAGCCTCCCGGGGGTTCTCGATGACGCGCCCAGCATGGCCAGAGAAGTCCATGGCCACCAGAGTATTATCTGAGACGCTTCTCTGAAGAGGGAAGGAGAGGGGAGAGGTCAGGACAGGATACAGGTACCCCTGGGACGAGGCCTGCGTGCCCCCCCTCCCATCCCCTTGTGCGCACTCACCAACGGTGGGGAGCCCAAACAAGAGGGACGCAGGTGGCGAGACTGTGCCTGCTGGTAATTCTTGTACAGCTGCGCCCCGTACTGGGGTGGGGAGAGAAAAAGGGCCTGAGATTCAGGTTGGGAGGCGCAGCTGTGACGCCCCCCCGCAGAACAGGACTTGCCCAGGGCAGAGCTGTGTGTCTGCCTTGGATGGGCGCTTCCTATATCAGGCTTGGACAGGGGGTTATCAGAGAGCAAGGCTGTGATGCCCTCCTCATTCCAGAGGCTTCCTGGGGGCAGAACTGGGGGTCCCCCTGGCCAGGCCAGCCCACCAGGCCACTCCCAGGGCCTCACCTTGAAGAGGCGGAAGGCAGCCAGCCAGCAGGTGCGGCTCTGCTCGTCTTCACTGCAGAAGATCCGAAGCCCCTTGTGGCCATTTCGAAGCTTGTTGGGCTGCAGGGAGAGGAAATTGGCTGGTCCTGTATCTGCCTGTAGGATCATGTGTCTGTCCCTGCTTCACAGAGCAGAGCAGGATCCAAGGAGTTTCCAGCAAGGCAGGGTGCAGGGAGAGGAGTCTGGGTGTCTGAATTGGGGCTCAGAAGCCCCAGGCAGGATCCAGAGGCCTGAGCAGTTCCTGCTTCCCCCAAGGGCCAGGCCGGGCCAGGTCTTCACCTTGACACAGAAGCCGAAGTCTGTGGGCATCCCGTAGAACTTGCGGCCCTGAGTCACCACATACACGTTGGACTCATTCACGTCTGCCACGTACTGCAGGTGCCTCGGATCCTGAGTAGCACGAGAGAGCAGGCCTTGGTACAGGTGGATCCCAACCCCTCTTACTGCCCCTCCCCAAGCCAGGTGGGGCGAATTTAGGACCAGAGAGGGGCAGGGGAGTGTCCAGGGTCACACAGCAAATAGAAGTAGAGTCAGGACTTAAACGGGGGTCATCTTTTCTCCTGCTACCTCCCTGGGCAAGTAAACTGGGCAAGGCGGTGGGGAGAGGTGGTAAACTGGAGGTGGCTGGCCTGGGAGCGCCTGGGAGAAGGGCTCGGAGGTTCCAGCAGAGAAGGGGCAACTTCTAGAAGGACCAGGGACTGGTGGGACTGGAAGGGTTGGGATTAGCACCCTCAAGACCTCACCTTAGAGGTGCCCTTGGTGGAGTAATAAAGGCCAGATCGGCGCAAGAAGCAGAAAAAGCGTTTCCAAAGCTTCCGTCCTGATCCCCGAAGCTGCAGAAAGCCCTGAATCTCAGGGAAGCTGCCGACATTCAGGAAGTTCTGAGCCAGAGAGCAGAGGCGAGTGAGAGGTCTGATCTCCTCCCTTCCCCTCTACCACCAAGATCTTTTTCTTTTGAGACAGGGTCTCACTCTAGTACAGTGGCACCATCACAGCTCACCGCAGCCTCAAACTCCCAAGCTCAACTGATTCTCCCACCTCAGCCTCTCAAGCACCTGGGACCACAGGCTCATGTCACCATTCCCGGCTTCTTCTTCCCTTTTTTTTTTTTTTTTTTTTTTTGGTAGAGACAATGTCTCTCTATGTTACCCGGGCTGGTTTCAAACTCCTGGGCTCAAGTAATCCTCCCACCTTAACCTCCCAAAGTGCTGGGATTACAGGTGTGAGCCACCATGCCCAGCCCACCCTCAGGTTTTTACGAAGAGATGCTCCACATGCATTTCTCGCCCCCATTCAACAGAAGAAACTGATGCTCAGGCAGGAAAAATGACCTGTCCACAGTCACACAGGACTGCGGCTGGGCTCTTTCTACCACAGAGAGGAGGCACGGGACTTAAGGGCAGAGAAGCACTGGCCAGTTTTGGGGAGCCGTGAATATGCAGTGAAATGTGAAATGGGGGAGTCCCCCCACCTGGATGAGGTCTTCATGGGATACGCCAGTGTGTGCATCGAGACAGCTGGAGACCATTTTTTCTGGGAACAGGGAGTGCTGTGGGTGGAAAAGGGGCAGGGCTTAGGGCTCCAGCGTCCAGGTTGAGGATCAGGGCGGCCCAGCGCCCAGAGAGCCCGAACACACTCACTGGGGAGCTCTTGAACAGTTCGTACTTGGCGAAGTTTTTCCGGAAGACGAAGCGGCTATCTCCGCCCACGGGCCAGGCAGCCTGCACTTCCACCACGGACTCGTGGTCCTCTAAACCCCGCTCTGGGGTCAAGGGCAAAAAACAGGGGTTACTGGAGATCAACCAGATCTCCTGGACGAGCCACATGCCTAGCCCAAGATGCGAGGCATTGCCTCCCAGCCCAGGCGGTTCCATACACCTGACTCACCCAGTGCTAGGTGGGGGTGGCACTCCACCAGCCCCCAGGTCTCGTCACTCAAGGCGTGAGTTCGCTGCACCAGCATTTCACACACGTGGCGAGCCGTGGCGCCCGCCGCCACCTCCACAGACCTGCAGGCCCCATCCTCACTGTACACCTTTACTACCTGTGCCCCAGGAATTGCAGACGACTTGAGGGGAAGCAAAGGGGGATTTCTTCCCTTTCCCCACCTGCTAGACCCTCAGGGACCTGACCAAGAGTCCCCGCCTCCAGGGAACCAGCTGTGTATCTCCCACAGACCCAGAACACTCCCCAATCCCTGCCTTGCCTTCTGAGGGACAACTCACATGGGGGCAGCTGGCATCGCGTGGGAGCAGCCCCCGTACACTGGAGGGCCCCCCGAGAATGGGGCTCTGTGGGGGAGGACTGCAGAGCTCAGGGAAGGGGTTGGGGATGGAGGGGAGGGAGGTGGCCCGCCGTTCCTCCTCTCGAAGTCTCCTGGGGCAAAAAGAAGAGAGAGAGGTGTGGGGAGTAGGAGGCATGGCCTGCAAGCCTCTGTGTGTCATCCAGCAAGGACCTCCCCCAAGCCGCAGGTCCCATCATACCTGCCGGTGGTTGGGATGAGGAGAGGCTGGGACCTCTTTACCTCCTCAGGCACAGGGGCCTCAGGGGGCCGGGGACTCCCAGGAGGGGTCCCAGGGGCTGGGCAGAGGTCTTCCGGAGAGCTACCAAGATGAGGTGGAGACAGATCCAGCTCCATGGCGTCTGAGGCAGAGGGGCTGAAGGGAACCAGCTGTGTGGCCTTGTCCTGGGGAGAGGGGACGAGAGAATTCAGACCTCCTGACGTCACACGGCGGTTAGGGTGCCCCTCAGAGTTTACCTAACACGGCACTGCTCTAACTGCAGTTTCCCTGAAGCCCTTAGGGTAGGAGAGAATGAGCCTCATTTTACAAAAGGGGACACTGGGTGTCTGAGAAGGAAGCGTTGCCCTCAGTCACGGGTGAGTCGGGGTGGAACCTGGTGTCTGGACTCCAAGTCCAGTGCCCTTGGTGCTCTTTCTGTTTCTGTGTTTTCTTTGGTTGGTTCGTTGCAGTGGCTCCATCTTGGTGTGCGCCACCACGTCCGGCTAATTTTTGTATTTTTGGTAGAGACAGGCTTTCGCCATGTTGACCAGGCTGGTCTCGAACTCCTGATCTGCCTGCCTTGGCCTTCCAAAGTACTGCGATTACAGGCATGAGCTACCACACTCGGCCCCAGGCTCCTTTTTTGAGACGGAACCTCTCTCTGTCACCCAGGCTGGAGTGGAGTGAAACCTCCGCCTCCCAGGTTCAAGCGATTCTCCTGCCTCAGCCTCCCAAGTATCTGGGATTACAGGCACACGCCACCACGCCTGGGCCCCAGTACTCTTTCTTTAGCACAAAGTTGTTCACGGGAAGAGCTGAGGGTCCACCCACCACAAGCCTGGTGGTCACAACAGATTTCACCACCCACAGACTAAGACCCACTCCTTTGCCTCCACGGGTGGGCCACTCACTATGCCGGGCTCTGCCCCGGGTTTTTCCAGCGCTTTGCTGCCAGACCCAGTTGCCAGAGCCTGTTCGTACTTGGCAAAGTTTGGCCTGCCCAAGTGATGAGTGATACAGAAGGAAAAGGAGGTGGGGAAGGATAGGAGCCAGGAAGGCCGGAGGGCTGGCTCAGCTGCAGAGCAAGGGCGAGAGCAGGTCTGGGGTGGGGACCTGGCCCTAGCAGCCCACAAACCTGTGTGCCCTCCCAGGCCATCCTCCTGCCCAGCTCTTTCCTGAAGCCCCGGTGCTAGAGCCACTTCCTCAGAGAAACCGTCCTAGCTTTCCACATTCAGACTGAATGACTCCCTCGCAGCACTGTGTGGGGCCGCATCATCCATCACTGTGCACCTGTCTTATCTGCCCACTTGTCCGAGGGCACCTGGTAGCCCCAGCCAAGGCCAATCTCTCACCCATGTCTTATCACCTACAGGGGCTGCTCAGACACTCAGGACTAGTAAAGACAGGAGGGTGGCAAAGGTAAGCCCTAGAGGTGGAGATGGGGCTGGCCCCTCCTCCGCAGGAACCCAGCGGACCCCCCTCGCTGGGCTGAGACCTGGGAGAACCTGCAATCCCAGCCCCCAGCCTGTTCTCGGAACACTGGGCCAGTACTATAAGGCCACTTGGGGCACCTGGACTGACCCCTCAGGATGGAGCAGGCACCTGACCCTTCAGTGAGGGCACTGGGGGACTTGGGGGACAGGTGAGTCAGGGCGGGCGGGACGACACTGCCTAGGGCTCTCCATTCAACCTTGACTCACCACACAACTTCCTGGCTTAGGAGAAACAAAAACAGCCCTGCCTCTACCCTCCCCCCAACTCCCCAACCCACTGGTAGCCGGAGAGAAATGGGGGAGGCAAGGGGCTGGGAACAGGACAGGGGAGGAGGATGTGGGGCCTGAGGCTCCTCTGACGTCACCTCCTCCTCCCTACCCTTGGCCTAGCTCCAGGCCAGGTGGGACCCACGATCTGCTCTCACCCCCAGTCCCAAACCACCACCTGGCCAGGGAGTCTCCCTGGGAGGGAAAGAGGCAATGCCCGGCCTGGATTCAAGAGAAGCTGGCATCCCAGCGGTGCCCCTCCCGACCCAAAGCATCGCTCAGAGCCCCTGCCCTGTGTCTGGGATCTACCGGGTCCCACCCTGCTGCTAGGGGACTCATCCGCATTCCCCTAGGGGATGAGGCTCCTCCTGACACATTCTCCTGGGTGTCCCAGCCAGAGGGGTAGCATAAAAGCAGGCACGGAAAGGGAAACACTCAAGATGCCAGACAGGACAAAAGGCCAGGGAGGGGCTCAGGGTCCTGCCAGGAGGGGCAGAACACACCCACCACCCGCTGGCAAGAGACCAGCACCTCAACACCAGAACACACTCCCCCACTCCCACCCCTGTCTGACCTCTCCAAACAGCTCTGATGATTTCATTTCAGGCTGCAGGGGGCCACACCTTCGACGAAGTCGCAGACTAATAGTGGGGTGGGAGAGGAGGAGAGAATTCGGGAGGATAGTGCTTGGAAGGGCTTAGAAGTGGATTCGAATCACATTAGCACCTGGCCTCAGCGATCAGGGAGGGCCGGCCCAAGGCTGGGCAGTACCCTCAGATCCCCCACCATGTCTTTCAGCCCCTCTAAGGCTGGAGGCGAGTGGGACCGTCAAGACCAATGGCGTGAGCAGGGAGGAGGAAGAGGTCCTTGCTGTGGGCCTGGCAGCTCAAACTAAGGCCCCAGGAAAGCTTCGGTTGGAAAAACAGACCCCCAAAATGAGTATGTCCCCTCAAGGAGGCCACTCCGGCCTTGGCTTTCCGGCTGTCTCCTCCCCTAGCGGCTCCAGCCCCACCCACGTTCCCATCCTCCCAACCTCCTTGTTTACTTCCTGAATCACGCCCCACCTGGCTGGCCCTAAGGGCGGGTGGCGGGGCCCAGTGTTCAGGGCCAACCGAAAACAACCCTGCTTCCCAGAGCAGGGGGAAGGGCTGGGGGCACTGAGGCCAGGGCCGGGGCCTGGATGCGGAGGGAGAGCCCCGGGCCCCCCAGCACTCCAGCCCCGCCCCCACAGGAGAGGCTTATAACCTTTTAGGGTGCAGGGCCCAGGTGAGAAGGTTAAGAAACCCCGGGATGACTCCGAGTAGAAGGGAGGACCCAGGACTCTGAGGCCCGGCCCACTCTCTCAGGAAAAACACCCAATGGGAGAAGGCGGGGCAGCTCTTTTAAAGTTGAATTCGGGAAGAATGCTGGAGTGTCTGTGCGGTTAATCATTACAGGCTGCCCGCCTCCGGGACGTCCCCCCACCCCGCACCCAGCAGAATAGCAGGAGAGGAGAGAGCAGAGTCCAAGACCGGCGAACCCCAAGGAGCCTTCCTGGGGGGCAATGCGGCTGGCGGGTGGGGGGGGGGGTCCCACTTTGCCGGCAGGTGGATTCTCTGTCACCGTCTGCCACGGAGACCCAGACTGGGAACCAGGGTCTCTCTCTAGCTTCATCAAGCAGAAGAGACCATCTGCCACCCCCCACCCCGCTCTCCCCAGGCCCCACCGCACTGCAGAGTCCCCCGTCCACCCCTGAAGCCTTCCTGCCCACTTCATGCAGAAGCCACGAGGGGCCCCGTCCCCCGCCCCACCCGGCCTGCACTTTCCCACCCGAGGGCCGGAGACGGTGTTGCTGAGCAGCGAATACAATCTGGAAAGATGGAGCCTCAACAATTTAGAGGATCCCTCTCCTTCAGTGCCCTCCAAAGTGGAGGGGGCCCTCCCTCCAGCCCGAGGAGACGTCTGTCTTAGAGACTTGGGGAAACCCAAACTGGGGTAAACTGGGCGAGCCGGGCAGTGAGGGCGGCTCTCTCCGGGCGTGCGGGGAGGGGCTAGTTTCAGCGGGAAAGCCAGGTTGGAGGAGAGAATCAGGTCTTCCTTCCCATTCTCAGCTGCTGGCTGCTGGGAGGTGTACAGGGAGGGAACGAGGAGGGCTGGAAACCAGGATGGGCACGAAAGCGGGCGGGCGGGGAGGAGGGGGCGGGATGGGAGATGGGCGGAAAAGAGAAAAGTGGGAGGCCCAGCAACCCAGCAGGACACGCAGCCTTTCCCTACCGGCCCCCAGACCGGCCGCGCCTGCCCCCAAAGGATGAATGCCCGCGTGGGTCCTTACCTGAACCCCAGGCGTCAGGACACCCGGCTGGGACCACGTCTTTAGGGAGGGAGACGCCAGGCCCTTAACTACCTGTCCCCCTTCGGCCCCCGCCCCGGGCCTGACATCACCGAGCGGGGGGAGGGGGAGAGCCAGGTGGCCTCCAGTCCGCCCACCTGGGCCGCCGGCCAGTTCAGCCGGAAACGGGCACAGCCTGGGGCCCTGATGCGGCTGGGGGTTGCCGGGCAAGCTGTCTTCTGAGACCGATCTCGGTCGCCTTACCTGGAGGAGTCCCAGGACACCCGGTCTGAAGTCTGGCTCTGTCTAGGAACCCCCAGATGCCTGGATTTTATTTCAGATCCACTCTACAGGTGGCAGGAGGGTGTCCCGACTTCGGATGGAGAAGTCAGGGGCGGGGGGAGCCCTGTGTGTCTAGATTCCAGGCCCAAGGAAACTAAAATTATCTTGGGTAGATGGGGGCGGGTCGGGGGAGGCGCCTGGGAGGAGGAAGCCTGGGAGGAGGGAGGAGACTCCCTGACACTACGCCAGCTGGGATTGTTTTTGCCCTTCCTAGCCTGGCAGCAGGTGCCAAGGGAGGGTGCAGGTGCCTGGGAGAGGCGGGGAAGACAATCAAAGAGACAGCACCAAGAGCGAAGATCAAGAGGCCCGACCGCCTGGGAGGGAGGGGGGAGGGCCTGGGGGCTGCAAGTTAAGAAGAACCACCCCGTCCACTCTTCCCCAACACCCTCCCCAAACCTGGTCTGATCATTGGCCAAGCCAGGGGGCCCATCTACAGCTCTGGTTCCCACCCCCTGGAGCAAAAAGCACCCTGCCAAGGAGGGATGCCAGCCAGGGGGTTGCCCAGCAACGTGGCCAGCCTCTCTACCTACCTGCAGCCACCCATTCCATGGTGGCTGCACCCTGGCCCCTCGGAGGCACCCAGGGTACAGCCCCCCCACAATTCTGAGCAAAGTCCAGAGTCTCAGCTTCCCCTTTAAAATCGAGGGAGTTAGGCAGGGTGGCACAGTGGAGGAGCCGTAGTGATCTGCAGAAAGCTCTGGCCTGGGCACCTGGGGATTCCTCTTAGAGGGATCACTTTGACTCTCTCACTCAGGAGTAGGCAAACACAGGGTACTTGGGAGAGGGGTTGGGAGGCAGAGATCAAAGGCTGCGGCCACCACCAGCTTGATGTGGGTGACAGGAAAACAAACAATCCCCTGGGCGCCGGGCACCGGGCGCCGGGCACGGTGGCTCACGCCTGTAATCCCAGCACTTTGGGAGGCCGAGGGGGGGTGGATCACAAGATTAGGAGATCAAGACTCTCCTGGCCAACATGGCGAAACCCCGTCTCTACTAAAAATACAAAAACTAGCAGGGCGTGGTGGCATGCACCTGTAGTTCCAGGTACTCAGGAGGCTGAGGCAGGAGAATTGCTTGAACCTGGGAGGCGGAGGTTGCAGTGAGGCGAGATCGTGCCACTGCACTCCAGCCTGGGTGACAGAGTGAGACTCCATCTCCAAAAAAAATAACAACAACAAAAAAAAAACACAATCTTTAGGGGGTTAAGAGGTCCATCCTGGGTGAGGACAGAGGAGTGGCTCCTGCCTCAGTTTTCTCCAAAGTTTTCCTCAGAAACCTGGTAAGAGTGAGCCAAGCAAAGAAGTTGGGGAGGAGGCAAGTTCTCCTGAGCAGTTTGTGCAAAGGCAGAGTAGACAATTCACTCATTCATTTATTCAACTATCTGTTCAGTACCTACCACATGCCAGCCCCATGTTTGGTGCTGGGGTCACAGGGATAAGCAACAAAAACAGGCCTTACCCCATCCTCACACAGCCAATCAGGGAGACTGATGTTAATCACAGAATCACACAAATAAGAAATGGCAGGTGACAGCTATGCTGGGAGAGTGACTCACATAGGGAGTCAGGAAAGACTTCTCTGTGGAGGTGACAGCCGAGCAGAGGAGAAGCTGGTTGACATGGGAAGGAGGTTGGAATCGAAGATGGGGATTGGGAAGGGGGCCACAGTCCCCAGGGAGGAAACCAGTACCAGAACTCCGGGCAGGAGGGAATGCAGCATGCAGAGACGGAGCGGGGTTGGAGGAGAAGGGAGGCAGCAGAGGCCACGCAGGTGAAGCTGGACAGCTGTGGAAGGTGTGAAGAGAGGGAGCTGTGCTTCTGCAAATGTGGCCTGTGACACACCTGCCTCCGCACCTCCCTAAGCTTGTGTGAAAAACAGATCCTTGGGCTCCTCTCCAGCCACTGAATCTCAGTCTCTGGGGCTAAGACCCAGGAATGTGTGATATTGACAAGCCCTCAGGTGGCTGTTCTGCAAGCCTGGTTTGAGAGCCATCCATCCCGTTTGTCCAGATGGGCAGGAGTAGCAGTCCAAGGCCAGACCCTGCAAGTTGTATTTAGGCCCGAGTAGAAGCACAGAGGAGAGGGCACGTTGACATTTTGGAAAGATCATCCCGGATGTTGAAGGATGGGACGGAACCGCAGCCGCACTCAGAGGGGTGAGTGCTGTAGGAATCAACTTACATGGCTTTCTGGAGGAGGTGGAACTGTGTGGACAAAAAGCAGGCCTGGGATTGGGGAGGAGGGAAAAGGATCCACCGTGGGGGGCACAGGGACTCGTGGGAGGTGATGGGACTGTTCTGTATCATGGTTGTGGAGTTGGATGCCTAATCGTGTGTGTTTATTAGGACTCATAGAAAGGTGCCCTCAAGAGAATGAAATTCACTGTGTATGAGCTGTATCTAAATTGAAAAACAACAACAATAAGGCTGGGTGCGGTGACTCAGGCCTATAATCCCAACACTTGGAGAGACCAAGGCAGGTGGATCAGGAGGTCAGGAGTTTGAGACTAGCCTGGCCGACATGGTGAAACTCCATCTCTACTAAAAATACAAAACTTAGCTGGGCGTGGTGGTGTGCAGCTGTAATCCCAGCTACTCGGGAGACTGAGGTAGGAGACTCGCTTGAAACCAGGAGGCAGAGGTTACAGTGAGTCGAGATCACACCACTGCACTCCAGCCTAGGTGACAGAGCGAGGCTCTGTCTAAAATAAATAAATAAATAAATAAGAATGTGTTTATAGGTCAGTAGAACAGAATCCAGAGTCCAAGAAGAAACCCTTACATTTCTGGTCAACTGATTTTTTACAGGGTGTCAAGACAATTTGATGGTAGAGAGAATGATGCTGTGATCAATTTGATACCCACAGGCCAAAAGATGAATTTAGATCTTTTGCTCACAGGATGCATTAAAACAAAACAAAACAAAACAAAACTCAGATTATATACCTGAATGTAAGAGCTAAAACCATCTAACTTCTAGAGGAAACCACGGGAGATAGTCTTCATGGCCTCGGGTTAGGCAGAGAACTTAAATTGAACAGCAAAAGACAACCGATGAGAGAAAAAAACTGATGTTAGACTTCATCAAAATTTAAAATTTTGTACTTCAAAAGCCACCATGAAGAAGAGGCCAGGCGCCGGGCGTGGTGGCTCAAGCCTGTAATCCCAGCACTTTGGGAGGCCGAGGCGGGTGGATCACGAGGTCAAGAGATCGAGACCATCCTTGTCAACATGGTGAAACCCCGTCTCTACTAAAAATACAAAAAAAATTAGCTGGGCGTGGTGGCACATGCCTGTAATCCCAGCTACTCAGGAGGCTGAGGCAGGAGAATTGCCTGAACCCGGGAGGTGGAGGTTGCGGTGAGCCGAGATCGATCGCGCCATTGCACTCCAGCCTGGGTAACAAGAGCGAAACTCTGTCTCAAAAAAAAAAAAAAAGAAGAAGAAGAGGCCAGGCTTGGTGGCTCACACCTGTAATCCCAGCAGCACTTTGGGCAGGTGAATTGTTTGAGCCCAGGAATTTGAGACCAACCTAGGCAACATGGCAAGACCTCATCTCTACAAAAAATATAAAATTTATCTGGGTATGGTGGTGCAGGCCTGTAGTCCGGCTACTTGGTGGGGCTGAGGTGTGACAATTGCTTGAGCCTGCAAAGCTGAGACTGCTGTGAGCTGTGATTGTGCCACTGTGCTCCAGCCTGGGTGACAGAGCAAGATCCTGTCTCAAAAAAAGAAAGGAGAAAAGAAGTCAGGTGAAATAGATCATGCCTGTGGTCCCAGCACTTTGGGAGGCTGAGGCAGGCAGATCACTTGAGGCCCAGGAGCTCTAGACCAACCTGGCCAACATAGCAAACACAGTCTGGCCATCTCAACTAAAAATACAAAAATTAGTTGGGCCGTGGTGGCGCATGCCTGTAATCCCAGCTACTTGGGAGGCTTGAACCTGGGAAGCAGAAGTTGCAGTGAGCTGAGATTGTGCCACTACATTCCAGCCTGTGTGACACCATGAGACCCTGTCTCAAAAAAAGAAAGAAAGAAAGAAAGAAAAAAATGAGTCAAAGATTGGGAAAAAATAGTTGCAAATCATAACAACCGTGTATGGTTGTATATATCTTGGTTGGTATCCAAAATATATAAAGAACTTTTACAAATCAAAAATAGACAAACAATCCTAATAAAAATGGGCAAAAGACTTGAATAGATGTTTCTTCAAATAATATGTATATGAATGGGTAATAACTACGTGAAAAGACATACAACATAGTCATTAGATAAATGAGAATGAAAACCACAATGATATACCATGACATGCCCACTAGGATGCTTATAATCAAAGAGACAGAAACAAGTATTAGTGAGGATATGGAGAGACAAATCCTCTTATATTGCTGGTGGGGATGTAAAATGGTGCCGCCACTTTGAAAAACAGTCTGGCTGTTTCTTTTTCTTTTTTATTTATTTATTTTTTTTTTGAGATCGAGTCTCGCTTTGTTGCCCAGGCTGGAATGCAGTGGCTCGATCTTGGCTCACTGCAACCTCCGACTCTGGGGTTCCAGCAATTCTCCTGTCTCAGCCTCCTGAGTAGCTGGGACTACAGGCGCCCACTACCACACCTGGCTAATTTTTGTTTTTGTTTTTGAGATGGATTCTTGCTCTGTCTCTGGAGTGAGGTGGCAAAATCTCAGCTCACTGCAACCTCCGCCTCCCGGATTCAAGGGATTCTCCTGTCTCAGCTTCCCGAGTAGCTGGGATTACAGGCATGCACCACCACGCGCAGCTAATTTTGTATTTTTAGTAGAAACAGAGTTTCTCCATGTTAGTCAGGCTGGTCTCGAACTCCCGACCTCAGGTGATCTGCTCATCTCAGCCTCCCAAAGTGCTGGGATTACAGGGGTGAGCCACCCGCCCGGCCCCTAATTTTCGTATTTTTAGTAGAGACCGTATTTCACCATATTGGTCAGGCTGATATCAAACTCCTGACCTCAGGTGATTTGCCCACCTCAGCCTCCCGAAGTGCTGGGATTACAGACGTAACCCACCATGCCCCACCCTGGCCATTTCTTAAAAAGTTAAACACTAGGCCGGGCGCGGTGGCTCAAGCTTGTAATCCCAGCACTTTGGGAGGCCGAGGCGGGTGGATCACAAGGTCGAGAGATCGAGACCATCCTGGTCAACATGGTGAAACCCCGTCTCTACTAAAAATACAAAAAATTAGCTGGGCGTGGTGGCGCGTGCCTGTAATCCCAGCTACTCAGGAGGCTGAGACAGGAGAATTGCCTGAACCCAAGAGGTGGAGGTTGCGATGAGCCGAGATCGCGCCATTGCACTCCAGCCTGGGTAACAAGAGTGAAACTCCGTCTCAAAAAAAAAAAAAAAAAAAAAAAAAAAGTTAAACACTAGTGTGAGAAAATGGCAAAACTTTGTCTCTACAAAAAATACAAAAAAACTAGGGAGGGGGGCATGGTGGTGCATGTCTGTAGTCTCAGCTATTCAGGTGGCTGAGGCAATAGGATAGCTTGAGTTCAGCAGGTCGAGGCTGCAGTGAGCTGTGTTTGCACTGCTGCATTCTAGTCTGGGCAACAGAGAGAGAGCCTGTCTCAAAAAAAAAAAAAAAAAAAAAAAAACCAAAGTTAATCATAAACTTAACCACACAATCCAACAGTTCTACTCTTAGGAATCAACCCAAGAGAAATGAAAAGACATATCTATACAAAGATACCTAGATAAACATTCATAGCAGATTATTCAAAATAGACAAAAACTGGAATCCTAAATATCCATCAACTAGTGAATTAAGAAATAAAATGTGGCGTAGCCACACAGTGGGATGCTACTCAGCAATAAAAAGGAACAAACTACTCTAGATGCTACAGCATGAATGCATCTCAAAAATTATATTGAGTGAAAGAAGCCAGAAGCAAAAGACTACATAGTATATTATTATGGTGTATATGAAACATCCAGAAAAAGCAAAGTTGGAGACAGAAAGCAGATCAGTGGTTGCATAGGACTGGAACTGGGAGACAGATCAACCAGCAACAGGCAGGAGGAACCTTATCAGGTTGACAGAAACGTTCTGTAATTGAATTGTAGTCATGGTTAGGCAACTGTACAAATCACTGAATTTTCTTTCTTTCTTTCCTTCTTTTTTTTTGAGACACAGTCTCACTCTGTCACCCAGGTTGGAGTGCAGTGGCATGATCTCAGCTCACTGTAACCTCTGCCTGCTGGGTTCAAGTGATTCTCCTGCCTCAGCCTCCCGAATAGCTGGGATTATAGGCATGTGCCACTATGGCTGACTAATTTTTTTATTTTTAGTACAGATGGGGTTTCATTATGTTGGCCAGGCTGGTCTGGAACTCCTGACCTCAAGTGATCCTCCCACCTCGTCCTCCCAAAATGCTGGGATTACAGGCATGAGCCACCGCGCCTTGCCTGGTTTACAAAAAAAAAAAAAAAATGTTTTTAATTTTTTTAAAATTTAAAATTAAATTTTTAAATTTAACCTCGGTCTCCCAAAGTGCTGGGATTACAGGCGTGAGTAATCCCAGCATTTTGGGAGGCCCAGGTGGGTGGATAACCTGAGATCAGGAGTTCAAGACCAACCTGGCTAATATGATGAAACCCCCATCTCCATTAAAACACAAAAATTAGGCCAGGCGCGGTGGTGCAAGCCTGTAATCCCAGCACTTTGGGAGGCCAAGGCGGGTGGATCACGAGGTCAAGAGATCGAGACCATCCTGGTCAACATGGTGAAACCCCGTCTCTACTAAAAATACAAAAAATTAGCTGGGCATGGTGGCACGTGCCTGTAGTCCCAGCTACTCAGGAGGCTGAGGCAGGAGAATTGCCTGAGCCCAGGAGGTGGAGGCTGCGGTGAGCCGAGATCGTGCCATTGCACTCCAGCCTGGGTAACAAGAGGGAAACTCCGTCTCAAAAGAAAAAAAAAAACACAAAAATTAGCTGGGCATGGTGGCTGGCACCTGTAATCTCAGCTACTCAGGAGGCTGAGGCAGGAGAATCGCCTGAACCCGGGAGGCAGAGGTTGCAGTGAGCCGAGATCGTGCACTGCACTCCAGCCTGGGTGACAGAGCGAGACTCTGTCTCAAAAAAAAAAAAAAAAAAAAAAATTTGAATAGCCTAAAGGGACACTAGAGTGGGTGGTGTGTTAGAATCCCATAGTGGTACTGCAGGCAGGGAAAAGGCAGCGAGGGCTTGGGCAGCCTCCATTTCCGGAGCTGCAAAATGAGAATAATGACACTAGCCCCGAAGTGAGAGGCTGTGATGAGAAGGGGTTGCGCAGGAACTGACGGGGGCACAGAGCTTGAAGAGCATCTACGGTTCTCCAGTGCAGTAAGAGGCGATTGTGAGACTGGAAAAAGCAGTTTCGAGCACTGGGGTCAGAAACGCTTGTTTATATAACTACAAGGGGGGTTCAAATGCCATCATCGCCAGGCTTGGTGGCTCACACCTGTAATCCCAGCGCTTTGGGAGGCCAAGGTGGGTGGATCACCGGAGGTCAGGAGTTCAAGACCAGCCTGGCCAACATGGTGAAACCCTGTCTCCACTAAAAAAATAAAAATAAATACTGAGTGGGGCACGGTGGCTCATGCCTGTAATCCTGGCGCTTTGGGAGGCCAAGGTGGGTGGATCACCGGAGGTCAGGAGTTCAAGACCAGCCTGGCCAACATGGTGAAACCCTGTCTCCACTAAAAAAATAAAAATAAATACTGAGTGGGGCACGGTGGCTCATGCCTGTAATCCTGGCGCTTTGGGAGGCCAAGGTGGGTGGATCACCTGAGGTCAAGAGTTCGAGACCAGTCTGACCAACACGGTGAAACCCTCTCTACTAAGAATACAAAATTAGCCGGGCACGGTGGCACAAGCCTGTAGTCCCAGCTACTCAGGAGGCTGAGGCAGGAGAATCTTTCGAACCTGGAAGCGGAGGTTGCAGTGAGCCGAGATCCTGTCATTGCACACCATCCTGGGCAACAAGTGCGAAACTCCGTCTCAAAACAAACAAGTGCCATCAGCATGTCAGAGAGAAAATGTAAACTATTTCATACATCAGTCACACCCGCCCCCATCCCCAGGATGGCTGCCCCACCACTTTCTCTTTCTTTTGTAAACTTTATAAAAAGTGCTTTGCAGTCGGAGATTGCCCATTAGAGTAAATGAAGTTATAAAGTCCGGCGGACACCTGGAGTGGGGAAGCCCGGTACTCCGGGAGCCCGGGCCAGGGAAGCAGGGTCTGGACCGGTCCTCCCAGCCGCTACTCAGGGTGCGAGCTCCGGAGCTGCGTTAGGAGGTCAAAACGCAGCAGTGGCCGAGGCCTGTAGGGGGCGTCCAGAGGCCCCGCTTGGCCCCGCCCCGCTCCAGAGGCCCTGCCCCGTCACGTGCCCGCGGCGAGCGTCACACCCGGAAGCAGGGCCCCGCGAGGAGCCGGCAGCAATGAACGGGGAGCCGGGGCAGACGTCCGTAGCGCCCCTTCCCGGGAAGGTCGAGCCGGGCAGTGGGGTCCGCATCGTGGTGGAGTACTGGTGAGCGGCTCCGACTGGAGGGCCCCCACCCTGGTCCCGCGGGCTGGACGGAGGTGGGTCCACGGGAGGCCCCACCCCCGAATCCCCAGCCCAGCCCCGTATCTTCTCCCCAGTGAACCCTGCGGCTTCGAGGCGACCTACCTGGAGCTGGCCAGTGCTGTGAAGGAGCAGTATCCGGGCATTGAGATCGAGTCGCGCCTGGGGGGCACAGGTGAGGCTCACGGAACACGTGCTGAGTCAGTCTATGCTCTAAATCCCAGCTCTCCCGCTTTCTAGCTCTGATATTGGCTGCTTTTTGTAAAGTGTCCGCAGTGCCTAGCATACGGGAAAATGTCCAGCCAACATAAGTTCCCTTCCATAGGTTGGGGCGGGGGGGGGGGGGTCACAGAGGAGGCCTGTAAAGAAAGATCAGTTAGACTGTAATCGTGCAGGGTTGGAGGGGAGGGGTCCTTTATTTAGAGTGTTGTTGGGGACACACAGGTGAGGCCTCCCTCAGGTTCCCTGGAGTTGACCCAGGGTGGGGGAGTGGCTTAAGGAGCTACAAATGAGTATCCAGTGGGACTGATGGGGGACTTGAAAGAGCCTGTGTGGTCAGAGGACCCCTTTGGAGGACCTCCTGACTTCTGCCTGTGTTCTCAGTGTACTATTTATTCATCTGTTGATTTCTTACCAGGCGCCTTTGAGATAGAGATCAATGGACAACTGGTGTTCTCCAAGCTGGAGAACGGGGGCTTTCCCTATGAGAAAGATGTAAGTATTTGCAGTGTTGGGAGGACCGCTGGGTCACCTTCCCCAACAGCACATCCTGCCACTCTGCATCTCTATCCACTAGCTCATTGAGGCCATCCGAAGAGCCAGCAACGGAGAACCCCTAGAAAAGATCACCAACAGCCGTCCTCCCTGCATCATCCTGTGACTGCACAGACTGGGTTCCTGCCCTGTTCGGGGGTCCAAGTCGTGGTCTCCCCTGTGGTCCTGCTGGGAGCTCCCCTTGCCACTTTCCTGTACTTAGCTCCTTAGCAAAGAGACCCTGGCCTCCACTTTGCCCCTTTGGGTTCACGGAAGGAATAGAAAATTCCATGGTGTTGGGGGCAGGAGAGAGATACTCTCCATGGACACTTCCCCAGTCACCTTATACCCGCTTCCCAGGATAAGTGCCCACGCAAGCCCAGTCCTCTCTCCAGCTTGGTAATACCTGTATGATGCCATGGTAGATCTTATTTATTCTCCCCTAGTCCAGTGCAGTGTCAGCTATTGGCAATAAAGTGGCACTACAAACACTAATGCTAACTAGTATGTGTTTTTATATGTCCAGTCTGGGAATGTGGTGGGGCACAGAAATCAGGCCAGCCCAGCCTTTGTGCTGCCAGGGTGGCTGTGCCGGCTGGGTGGGCTTTCTGGACAGCTACTCCTTAGGTCAGTGAGCTCCTCTGGCATAGCCAAGGCAAGGAAAATGAGTCCCGCAATAGATACTGCCCCAACCCTACCCTCCTTTCCCACAAGGAGGAAACAACCCCATTCTGGTGAGTGACCTTAGGAATTAGTTTGTTCTAAGAATGATCTGGTCGTCAAAGGACTCTCAGATCCAAATCCAGCTTCCCAATCCCCCCACCAACCCTGAAGCTGGGGAACTGGATATGAGGTGCCTCATCATCCAAGTTTTCTGAAGATTCCCAGCCACTCCCACCAGGAAAAGAGGAGTTGAGTGTAAGGTGAGCAGGAAGAGATGGTGCACAGCCACCCCCAGACATAGGCAGGTGCCCAGCAGTTTCCAAAATATATTTACAAATGGAGAAAGTGGGTGTGAAGGGCCATCCCACCCCCCATATAACACCCATTCTCCCCCTGGGTCTTTATTTCATCTTTAAAAAAAAAAAAAAGTACAAACTAAACAGAAAAGCACTTTGTACAAGGGCTGGATGCTGACACCATTGCTGCTCCTTCCCCACGGGGGGCAGTACTAGGTCTCAGGGACAGTCTGAATGCGTCACTCTTGTTCTTAGACACTCTCTTAGGGCTGCTTCCCCTCTCAGGCCAGCTTCCCTAAGGCTTCCAGTATCCAGGATCTAGAAGGAAAGGGCCAGGCTGGGCCATGGCATCCACTGGGCTCTAGAGTCATTGGGCAGGGCTCCAGAATGCACCAAGACTCCCCAGTGCTGTTCCTCTTCCAACCAGACTGGACCCCTTCCAGCCACCTGGGAACTCAGGCAGAAGGAAGTTTCCTTAGGACAGGCTCCCGGCACAGCAAGCCCCGCTGGAAGTGGCCAGGGGGCCCTCCTGCCTCTTGATGCCAGCAGAAGTCAGGCCTTCCCCACTCCCTGAGGACACATCAGGGCCTCTGCGGACTTGACCTTCTGGTTCACACCGGTACGTCGAGACCCAGGTACTCTAGGTTCTCTGCCGTAGGGGTCCCTTCGAAAGTGCTGGGTGGAGCCCCCCGCTCTGATGGGTCCTGGTCCCAATAATAGAGGTTGTCGAAGGCTGGGCTGAAGGCAGGAGGGTGGGGCTGAGGGGCAGCTCCTACCCGGGGTGCCAAGTACTCGGGGTTCTCCACGGCACTCCCAAAGGCAAAAACGTCTTTGATGACCCCATTCTTCCCTGGGGAGAGAGTCTTGGGCCTTTCCAGAGTGGCACCAGCAGGTCGGGCAGGAGGCAGAGGACCCTCTTGGGGCGAAGAGGGCTGTGGCCGAACATCTGGCTGGTTCACATATTCTAAAAGGGCAAGAGAAGAGGATCTGTTAGGCGGAGGAACCCCAGTGTCCCTGCTACTCCCTCTGCCCCCACAGTGGACCCTGGACTGAGGGTCCCCACCTCCCCCCGCCCATAAGTCTCTCAGCTGAGGCTGGACTCCATACCAGGCTGGTGGCTGCAGGTCAGGGGGGCAACGTAGCCATCAGTCTCAGAGGGCGGGGGTACTGTGGGGTCCTCACTGTACCGCTGTAGAGGGCTAGGGTCGTGTGGGGGGAAGCTTTGCAGCCCCTTGGCTGCCCCCATTCCCAGGTCACCATCAAATACATCGGAGCCAGCACCTTCGGAGGGTGTCCGTGGAGACCTGGGGGCCTCCTCTTCAGAGGGCTCCAGCCCTAGCGTCAGGTCCCCACCGCCACTCTGGGGACAAGAAAAAATGTCATGATGGGGATCACTCATGGATCTGGGATGGGGACTCCATGGGAGGTGACAAGGTCATAGAAGAAAAACAGAGGTCACCTTTGGGACATGACACAGTCACCATGGAGAGAATGGGGTCACAGAGGTTGGAAGGTGGTAAGAATTTTTTGTAGGGATAATGGGGTCTCCATGAGGGGTGACAGTTGAGGGAACATCAGAGAAAGGGACCCTAGTCCACTGGGTTTGGGGGAAGTAAACAGCCACGCAGTGTGACCGATGACACTGACCCTAGTGGATGAGCTGCGGTGCCTGTGGTGGGCCATGCCCCCAGCACCTGGGGCAGGGTCTGGGCTGAAGAAGCCCTGCTGGGGCACCAGATACTCCTCGGCATCCACCAGGTCCCCCATGTCATCGTCCTCCAGCAGTGAGCGGTAGAAGGTGCTATCCAAGGGACTGGCCGGGCCCAAGTCCTCATTCTGCAGAGGAAGGAGAGGTGGGATGGCGGCCCCTCCCCAGCCCAGCATGCAGCCTTCCGTGAGGGGTCTGGCACACTGGAGTCATCTCCCCTTCCCACCCTCTGCAGGAGGGTGCTCTTAGCCATAGGCAGGGAGCAGACACAGAGGCCCAGTACCTGGATGACCACAAAGCGCTGGGGGTCCCTGGCCATTCGGGAGAATTCAGACACCAACTCCCGGAATCTTGGCCGACATTCAGAGTCAATCATCCAACCTGAGGCGGGAGGGAGGTCAGCATGCCGGTCCCGGGCCCTGTGTGCTTGCTGCCTCTCCCCTCCTGCTCCCCCTCCAGTCTGGTCTAGACAGTCCCAAGGGGACAGCCCCGGGTGGTAGAGAAGTAGTACTAGACTCTGGGGTCTTCAGTCAGAACTTTGGGCACATCTACTAATTTCCCTTTTATTTTATTTATTTTTTTATTTTTTGCTCTGTTGCCCAGGCTGGATTTCAGTGGCACAATCATAGCTCACTGCAACCTTAAACTGGACTCAAGTGATACTCCTGCCTCAGCCTCCTGAGTAGCTTGGACTACAGGCACACATGACACCCAGTGAATTTTTTTTAGTTTTTGTAGAGACAGGGTCTCACTATGTTGGCTAGGCTGGTCTTGAACTCCTGGTTTCAAGAGATCCTCCCACCTCAGCCTCCCAAAGTGCTGGCATTACAGGCATGAGCCACTGGGCCCAGCTTAATTTTGTACAGAAGGTTCTCTGGTTGTTACTCTAGAGTGGCTCTGGACTTTGACCGTAAAAGGGATAACAGGTTTTGAGGCTCCTTTTAAAATACCAGAGCTCCTGGGTTGACATACATCCTGGTTCCTTCCGATGCCCCTTATGGGCTCCTCCACCCGGGACCTCCAACCCTCCTCCAAGCAGAGTTCAGCCACGCACATTTGACCATGATCATGTAGACATCAATGGTGCAGATGGGGGGCTGGGGCAGCCGCTCCCCCTTCTCCAGCAGGTCAGGGATCTCCCGCGCTGGGATCCCATCGTAAGGTTTGGCCCCAAAAGTCATCAGCTCCCACACAGTCACACCTAAGGCAGAGACAGGGTCAGGGGTGGGAGGGCCAGCAGGAGCTTTAGTGTCTTGAGCCACAGGTTCTGCCCAGGATCGTAGCACCATAGCAACGGGGAAGATGTGAAGTCAGGAGACAGAACCTACCCGGTCTTTCTCTAATTCTGGTTAGTGCATAGACCCTGCAAGGTGGGGCACAGGCAGCTGCTTCTTTCCCTCCACATGCTAAGCTGCCCCAAAATTCTCCCCACCCCAGTTCTCATCCTCCCTCCAGCCAGGGCTCCTCACCCGCCCCTCCCCACCACACACCGTAACTCCACACATCACTCTGGTGGGTGAACCGCCGGCGGAGAATGGACTCCAATGCCATCCACTTGATGGGCACCTGGAGGGCAGAAGAAGAAGTCCTTCAACTGGGTGTGGTGGGGAGGTGGCCACTCAGAGTCCTCCCAGGGGCCAGACCCACTCCACCCTGCCTCCCCTGCTCCCTCATCCAACCTTGCCCCCATCTGCATGGTATTCTGTCTCATCAATGTCCAGCAGCCGAGCTAGCCCGAAGTCTGTAATCTTGACATGGTTGGGACTCTTGACCAGCACGTTCCGAGCAGCCAAGTCCCTGTGTACGAGCCGCACATCCTCCAGGTAGCTCATCCCCTGGAATGGGAAGCACCCGGGTAGACCTTCTGGGAGGGCCTGGCCCTGGCCACATGCCCAGCAAGCATCCCCCTCCTAGCCCCATGTGGATACAGGAGCTTGCTCCGAAGTGACCTGCACAGAGCCCAGGTGCCCTAAGTGCATACCTTGGCAATCTGCACACACCAGTTCAGCAGGTCCTGGGAGCCCAGGCGTCCTCGGTGTTCCCGGACATGGTCTAAGAGGCAGCCATAGGGCATAAGCTGTGTCACCAGTTGCACTGTGGATGTCAGGCAGATGCCCAGGAGGCGGGAGACATATGGGGAGCCCACACCAGCCATCACGTATGCTTCCTGGGGACAAGGATACACTGAGAGGGTTTGGGGATCACACACCCCCACCCACCACACAACCTCCCAACCGTCACAAACCACAGCCACGGCCCACAGCCTATGAAGGCTCCAAGATCAGCCCGGACAACATGGTGAAACCCTGTCTCTACTAAAAATACAAAAATTAGCCGGGCGCGGTGGCTCACGCCTGTAATCCCAGCACTTTGGGAGGCCGAGGCGGGTGGATCACGAGGTCGAGAGATCGAGACCATCCTGGTCATCCTGGTGAAACCCCGTCTCTACTAAAAATACAAAAAATTAGCTGGGCATGGTGGTGCGTGCCTGTAGTCCCAGATACTCAGGAAGCTGAGGCAGGAGAATTGCCTGAACCCAGGAGGCAGAGGTTGCGGTGAGCCGAGATCGCGCCATTGCACTCCAGCCTGGGTAACAAGAGCGAAACTCCGTCTCAAAAAAAAAAAAAAAATTAGCCGGGTGCTTGTAATCCCGGCAACTCAGGAGGATGAAGCATGAAAATTGCTTGAACCCAGGGGGCAGAGATTGCACTCCAGCCTGGGTGACAGAGCAAGACTCTGTCTCCAAAAAAAGTCTAGGTTTGAGGGAGTCATATCTCCCCAAACCCCAATGAAGAGAGACCAGAGCCCAGACCTGCAGCCATGGGGTCCTTCCTGTGCTCCCAGCAGAAGAGGCTGGAAGAAGGGCTTACGTCTAAGATTTCTTTGTTGGCTTTAGGGGATGTGTTTTCTCTCAACACTTTGATGGCCACTGGAATTTTCACATTCTCCCCATCAGGGATCCAGATTCCCTGGGCAGAAAGAGGAGGATGTGAGTGAGAAGAGCGTGGGCGGATCCTGCCTACCTCCCAGATCATTACCTGTACTCCAAACCTCCTTCCCCACCCTGGGGGTTGGCCCCCACCTTTGGTAACAGCCCTTCCCCAAACACTGCCTCTGGCTCTTGACCCTCCCAGCGGAACTGCTGACCACACCCCGCTGGGACCGCTCACCCCAGGCCCTGGCCCAGGCCCTGACCTTGTAGACTGTGCCAAAAGCTCCGGATCCAAGCACCTTCACCTTCCTCAGCTCAGTCTCTTTCAGGATCCGCATCTGTGCCTGGTTGGGCATGGCTCCGCTCGGTGTCAGCGGCTCCACCAGCTGGGATGAGGGGGTGGTGGGTCAGTGCCAGAGGCCAGTGCAGACCCCACGAGGGCTGGGAGGCCTTCAGGCTGCCTCACCTCGGTTTCCTGCAGCAGCCTCCGCATTGTGTACTTCCGGATCTTCTGCTGCCGTCGCTTGATGAGGATCCCAAGGAGCAGCCCCAAGACCATGACCAGCAGAATGCCCACCACCGCAGAGATGATGGACGTCAGAGGGCTGGGGACAGGAGCCAGAGTCAGGGATTGCGGGCCAGTTTGGGGTGGGAGGGATGAAGGGGCCCATGGGGGACATGAAGGCATTTGACATTTAGAAACGGAAGTCAGAAGGGTGACCCACGGACTTGGACCCTCTCCTACTCTAAAACCTGCCCTGGCTCCCCACTGCCTCCACAATAAAGTTCAAACTCCTTGCAGGCAATCAGAGCCCTCTCCACGTCTCCAGATTCTCTATGCTCTTGCCCTTGGCTCTGGCTTAGGGCTCCAAACTTCACAGTGTAAAAATCACTGAAGATACTGTTAATACACATGCTCAACTTACCATTGGACTGCATTCTGATAAACCAATTATAAGGTGAAACTGAAAATGCATTTAAGACTCAGCCTGACTTACACGTGCTCAGAACAGTTACACTGCCAGCAGCTTACAGTTGGGCATCTAGCACAAAGCCTATTTTATAATAAAGTGTTAAATAGCTCTTGTTATTTATTTATTTATTTATTTTTGAGACAGGGCCTTGCTGTGTTGCCCAGGCTGAGTGCAGTAGCAAGATCATGGCTCACTGCAGCCTTGACCTCCGGGCTGAAGCAATCCTCCCACCTCAGCTGCCCAAGTAGCTGAGACACAGACAGGTGCCACGACACTTGGCTAATTTTTTTACTTTTTGTAGAAGTGGGGTCTCACTGTGTTGCCCAGGCTGGTCTTGAGCTCCTGGCCTCAAGGGATCCTCCCACTTTGGCCTCCCAAAGTGCTGGGATTACAGGTGTGAGCCAGCATGCCTGGCTGTATAATTTATTGAATTCTGAAAGTGAAAAACAGAATGGCTGTATGGGTACTCAAGGTAGTTTCTACTCACTGTATATTATTGCTTTCCCGCCAATGTAAAGTCAAAAAATCCTAAGTAGCCGGGCGCGGTGGCTCACACCTGTAATCCCAGCACTTTGGGAGGCCGAGGCAGGTGGATCACGAGGTCAGGAGATCGAGACCATCCTGGTCAACATGGTGAAACCCCGTCTCTACTAAAAATGCAAAAAATTAGCTGGGCATGGTGGCGCGTGCCTGTAATCCCAGCTACTCAGGAGGCTGAGGCAGGAGAATTGCCTGAACCCAGGAGGCGGAGGTTGCGGTGAGCCGAGATCGCGCCATTGCACTCCAGCCTGGGTAACAAGAGTGAAACTCCGTCTCAAAAAAAAAAAAAAAAAAAAAAAAATCCTAAGTAATATAACCATAAATAGGGGACCATCTGTATGCATAAAATTTTGGGGCCCCACCCCCAGGGATTCTGCTGCATGGGTTCAGGAATCAACCGATGATTTTGATGTTCTAGCCAAAATTTCCACCAGCAGGTCATGATTTTTCACACCTCCCAGTGTTTGCATAGGCTGTTCCTTCAGCCTGGACCACCATTTCTCCACAGGGTCATCTTTTAAGACTCAGCTCATCGCCAGGAGTGGTGGCTCACACCTGTAATCCCAACACTTTGGGAGGCCAAAGCAGGAGGATCACTTGAGCCCAGCCTGAGCAACGTAGCAAGACGCTGGCTATACACACACACACAAATTTAATTAGCCAGGTATGGTGGCATGCTTCCATAGTCCCTGCTACTACAGAAGGGTCACTTGAGCCCAGGAGGTCAAGGCTTCACTTCGCCTGTGATTGCACCACCACATTTAAGAATGGACAACAGGCCAGGCACAGTGGCTCATGCCTGTAATCCCAGCACCTTGGGAGGCTGAGGTGGGTGGATCACAAGGTCAGGAGTTCGAGACCAGCCTGACCAACATGGTGAAACCCTGTCTCTACTATAAATACAAAAATTAGCTGGGCATGGTGGTGTGCACCTGTAATCCCAGCTACTCAGGAGGCTGAGGCAGGAGAATCGCTTGGACCCAGGAGGCGGAAGTTGCAGTGAGCCGAGATTGTGCCACACTACTCCAGCCTGCAGAGCAAGACCCTGTCTCAATCAATCAGTAAAAAGATAGTGCATCCAGTTGGGCGCGGTGGCTTGTGCCTGTAATCCCGCCACTTTGGGAGGCTGAGGCGGGCAGATCACAAGGTCAAGAGATTGAGACCATCCTGGCCAACACAGTGAAACCATGAAACCCCGTCCCTACTGAAGATACAAAAATTAGCTGTGTGTGGTGGCACGTGCCTGTAATCCCAGCTATTCAGGAGGGTGAGGTATGAAAATCGCTTGAATCAGGAGGTGGAAACTGTAGTGAACCAAGATCTCGCAACTGCACTCCAGCCTGGTAACAGAGTGAGACTCCGTCTTTAAAAAAAAAAAAAAAAAAAAAAGGCCGGGCGCGGTGGCTCAAGCCTGTAATACCAGCACTTTGGGAGGCCGAGGCGGGTGGATCACGAGGTCGAGAGATCGAGACCATCCTGGTCAACATGGTGAAACCCCGTCTCTACTAAAAATACAAAAAATTAGCTGGGCATGGTGGCGCGTGCCTGTAATCCCAGCTACTCAGGAGGCTGAGGCAGGAGAATTGCCTGAACCCAGGAGGCGGAGGTTGCGGTGAGCCGAGATCGCGCCATTGCACTCCAGCCTGGGTAACAAGAGCGAAACTCCGTCTCAAAAAAAAAAAAAGATAGCTCATCCTGGGCTAGATGGAGCTCCTGGGTGTTGACCCAATATTCTTGTCATCCTGCCCCCTCCACACTCCCTTGCTTAGCACAGGGTCTGACACATACCAAACCTGTAACGCATACTCGTTTCATGGACAGATGATTGCCTAGGACAGACTCTAGTCTGTTTTTCTCCCTAAAGTCCTTCCCAAAGCTCCCCAGCTTGCCAGGTAAAGTCCAACCCTGTGGCTTGGGGATCAGGCCCTATGCCCTCCAGGTTGGGCCCCACTCTGACTCTAACTTGACCCCCTTACTCCTGGGCTAACTTAACAGCCCCCCACACCAGAACCTTTGAACACATCCTGGACTTCCTGATGTCTCACACTCCAGTGTCACCTTGCCCCCAGTGCTTTCCACCTAAATGCAAATGCAATACCTGCTCCTCTCTCAAAGCCTGGCTCAAAAGCCACCTCCTCCTTGAAGCCTCCCGCCGTCTCCAGATACCATCGCTCCCTCAGCACTGCAGCTTCACTCTTCTCAGTCTACCTTGAGTCCCAAGGAACTGAACTTTACCTGTGTCCCTCACAAGTTATCAAGTTACTCCAGGGTAGGGAGGGACTGGGTTTCCTAGCCATCTTCCCCTGCTGCCCCCTCCCCCCAGCACCTGAGCAGGTCTTCTGTCACTTGTTGAAGTAGGAAATGACAGGAGGTTCCACAGTGGAAGAGTAGATGGGAAGGGACATAGGTCAGGGGGTCCCCTCCCTACAGCAGTGATCACTCAGCATCCAGTGGGGGAGTAAAGGGCAACAGGGGGTCCATCCTGGGGTCCAGGCCAACCTGGCTCTCTGCTCGGCGGGGCAGCCCTTGTCATCCAGGTCCACACAGCTGCAGGAAAAAGAGTCTCATCAACAATTCTGGGAACCACCCTCTTGGGTGGTTCCAGCCTCACAACAACCATGGAAGGGGTGTGGCTGGGTCATTATCCCCATTTGAGAAAGGCAGAAACTGGGCTCAAGGCCATCAGTGCTCCTTCTACCACCCCACAAGGAGATTCCTTCCCCAGCCAAGGAACCAGCATGCCCTGTAATTAATCCCTGGGAGGCTGAGACACAAGAATTGCTTGAACCTGGGCAGCAGAGGTTGCAGTGAGCCAAGATTGCACCAGTGCACTCCAGCCTGGGCAACAAAGGGAAACTCCATCTCAAAGAAAGAAGAAAAAAAAGGAATATGGGTCCAGATCCCTGTGGCCTGTGGTGGGTAGGAAGTCGGGAGGGGCACCCAGAAGTGCATCAAGTCTGAAAGCTCAACTATTCCCTCCATAGAAGAATCCCAGGGTAAACTGAGGCAACTTCTCGGAGAACGGTTTGGTAACAACTATTAGTGTCTATGACTCAGCAGCTCCACCTGTACATATTGTTTGCAAATGCTTTTTTCACTTTATAGAATCTTGTAGTGTTTTTCCATGTTCTAACACTGTGTTCTGGATCTAGGATCCATATGGATCTGGACTTTTCTTTTCTTTTCTTTTCTTTCTTTTTTTTTTTTTTTGAGACAGAGTTTCCCTCTGTTACCCAGGCTGAAATGCACTGGTGCAATCTAGGCTCACTGCAACCTCTGCCACCCAGATTCAAGCGATTCTCGTGTTTCAGCCTCCCGAGTAGCTGGGATTATAGGTGCACACCAGCATACTCAGCTAATTTTTGTATTTTTAGTAGAGACGGGGTTTTGCATGTTGGCTAGGCTGGTCTTGAACTCCTGACCTCAGGTGATCTGCCAGCCTCAACCTCCCAAAGTGCTAGGATTACAATCAAGAACCACTGTGCCTGGCCCGGACCCATATTCTTTTAATTTTTCTCATTTAATTGTCCTTAAATTGAAATGCATGAATACATCCTGGTGATAAACATTGCCAGCACTATATCCCGTAAAAATGCCAACACGTGGACACTAGGAGGCATACACAAGAGTGTCACTTGTATATGGAGCTCAGTTGCAATAAACTGTGAAAACAGGGAAACAAGCTCAATATCTCTCAAAAACAGATTAAGTTAAATTACATCCATGTTACAGGTTGAGTAATTAAAAACACATAAAGCTAGTAGATCTGTCTGTACTCCCAAGAAAGGGTACCACAAGCAGTGGGGAAAGCAAAGCGCAGAACAGTACGCAGAGAATGTTCCCATGCACATCACAAAATGTACATGCACACAAATCTGATGATAGGTGGCATTATATAAAATTGCTGTTTCCTGACTTTTTTTTTTTTTTTTTTGAGACAGAGTCTTTCTGTCGCCTAGGCTGGAGTGCAGCATGATCTCAGCTCATTGCAACCTTCATCTCGCGGGTTTTTTCCTGCCTCCGACTCCTGAGTAGCTGGCTAATTTTTGTATTTTTAGTAGAGATGGGGTCTCGCTATGTTGACCAGGCTGGTCTCGACCTCCTGATCTCATGTGATCCACCTGCTTCAGCCTCCCAAAGTGCTGGGATTACAGGTGTAAGGCACATGTCCAGCCTCTTGACCATTTTTGGTTCAAACAAACAGTAATCTTATTTGACTCGACCTAATATAAATGTAATATGTCTATGAAGGCATGTAGAGAAGACCCCGGAAGGATGAACACACAAGTCAATGTGATGGTTCTCCCCCAGGGGACAAGAGAGGCTGGGTGGGCAGGGAGTTGAGTGAAAGGTCCCATTAGCTTTGTAACATTTATACTTTTACATTACTGAAAATGTTTATCACAAGGATGTATTCATGTGTTTCATGTGTAAAGACAACTACATAAGAAAAATTAAAAGAGTAAGGTAGATCACCATGTTTGAACATGGAAAAACACTGCAAGGTTCTGGAAAATGAGAAAAAGAAAGCAATTTGCAAACAATAGGTACGGTCTGTGATTCTATTTGGTAAAAATAAATACGTGACTGGGCATGGTGGCTGACCCCTGTAATCCCAACACTTTGGGAGGCTGAGGTTGGCAGATCACCTGAGGTCAGGGATTCAAGACCAGCCTGGCTAACATGGTGAAACCCCATCTACTAAAAATACAAAAATTAGCCAAGTGAGGTGGCATGGAATCCCAGCTATTCAGGAGGCTGAGGCAGGAGAATTGCTTAAACCCGGGAGGCGAAGTTTGCAGTGAGCCGGTATTGCACCACTGCACTCCAGCTTGGGCAACAGAGCAAGACTCCATCTCAAAAGAAAAAAAAAAACCAAGCCAGGAACAGTGGTTGGCTCACGCCTGTAATCCCAGCACTTTGGGAGGCCAAGGCGGGCGAATCATGAGGTCAGGAGTTAGAGATCAGCCTGGCCAATATGGTGAAACCCCATCTCTGCCAAAAATACAAAAATTAGCCGGCCATGGTGGCACTTAAGATCTCAAGATCACGCCACTGCACTCCAGCTTGGGTGGCAGAATGAGATTCCATCTCAAAAAAAAAAACAAAAGAAACAACAACAGCCGGGCGCGGTGGCTCAAGCCTGTAATCCCAGCACTTTGGGAGGCCGAGGTGGGTGGATCACGAGGTCGAAAGATCAAGACCATCCTGGTCAACATGGTGAAACCCCATCTCTACTAAAAATACAAAAAACTAGCTGGGCATGGTGGTGCGTGCCTGTAATCCCAGCTACTTAGGAGGCTGAGGCAGGAGAATTGCCTGAGCCCAGGAGGCAGAGGTTGCGGTGAGCCGAGATCGCGCCATTGCACTCCAGCCTGGCTAACAAGAGCGAAACTCCGTCTCAAAAAAAAAAAAAAAAGAAAGAAACAACAACAAAAAAAAACCCACATACATATATACATGTTAGAATGTACACAGATAGTCGGGCGCGGTGGCTCAAGCCTCTAATCCCAGCACTTTGGGAGGCTGAGGCGGGTGGATCACGAGGTCAAGAGATCGAGACCATCCTTGGTCAACATGATGAAACTCTGTCTCTACTAAAAATACAAAAAATTAGCTGGGCATGGTGGCACGTGCCTGTAATCCCAGCTACTCAGGAGGCTGAGGCAGGAGAATTGCCTGAACCCAGGAGGCGGAGGTTGCGGTGAGCCGAGATCGTGCCATTGCACTCCAGCCTGGGTAACAAGAGCAAAACTGGCTGGGCACGGTGGCTCAAGCCTGTTATCCCAGCACTTTGGGAGGCCGAGGCGGGTGGATCACAAGGTCGAGAGATCGAGACCATCCTGGTCAACATGGTGAAACCCCGTCTCTACTAAAAATACAAAAAACTAGCTGGGCATGGTGGTGCATGCCTGTAATCCCAGCTACTCAGGAGGCTGAGGCTGGAGAATTGCCTGAACCCAGGAGGCGGAGGTTGCGGTGAGCCGAGATCGTGCCATTGCACTCCAGCCTGGGTAACAACAGCGAAACTCTGTCTCAAAAAAAAACTACGTCTCAAAAAAAAAAAAATGTACACAGATAAAAATACCTGGAGAATAATATTAATACATGCTAACATATATATTATATATATACATATTAGAATGTGCACAGACAAAAATAACTAGAGGGAAAATAACTCAAATTATTAACAGTGAGGATAGAACTGCTAGGACATTAATTTTTTTTTTTTTTTTTTTTTTTTTTGAGTTGGAGTTTCGCTCTTGTTACCCAGGCTGGAGTGCAATGGCACGATCTCGGCTCACCGCAACCTCCGCCTCCTGGGTTCAAGCAATTCTCCTGCCTCAGCCTCCCGAGTAGCTGGGACTACAGGCACACGCCACCATGTCCAGCTAATTTTTGTATTTTTAGGAGAGACGGGGTTTCACCATGTTGACCAGGATGGTCTCGATCTCTTGACCTCGTGATCCAACCACCTTGGCCTCCCAAAGTGCTGGGATTATAGGCGTGAGCCACCGCGCCCAGCCTACATTAATTTATATTTCATGTTTTAATTTTATAATTTTCACAATGTGTTGCTTTTGTCATCAGAAACAAGATACGATGAAGGGAGAGTTGGCCCCCTTTTATAAGAGCCCAGAGAGGTCCCTAAAAGTAATGTCCTTCTTTCTGCAGAAAAGACCCTCAGACTCACGAGTGGGTGCAGTTGATGGGGCAAGGCTGGCATGTGCCCTCCTCATCTGGAAACTTCCAGATGGGCATGTAGGAGAGGTCAGGTTTCACACCGCTAGGGCAGCGGGCCACGCAGAAAGGAGAGTCCTTGTAGTGGGCACAGGCCACACACTGGTCAGCCTCCTGGTGGGGACAGAAAAGGTTTGTGGCGGGCTGACACTGACACCCCCAGAGCAGCAGGATCAGGCCCCTGGTTGGGTTCCCTTCCTGCTTCCCACAGCCATACAGCATCGATTTTCACCGTGCCCCTGGGACAAACACTCCTGCTCTTCACCCAGTCTCTGTGGCCCCTCCCTCAGGGCCCTCCTTCAAGCTGGATCCCGGGCGGGGACTCAGCCGAAGAATAGGAGGTACCCAGAGAGGAAAATGCATTACCTAAGGTGTAACAGCAAGTAACCACAGTCACTGCTGCGTAGAAAGCCTTTCCCGGGCTTCGCTGGGCCAAGCCCTGTTTAATTTCATTCTCGCCACACCCCAGCAAGGCAGGTACTATTACAATACCCATTTTAGGAATGAAAAAAAACAAGGTTGGAAGCAGGACCTGGATCTGAATCCAGGTAGTCTGACACCTGAGCCTGCAGGGCTAACCACCTAGCACAGCCACAGCCACAGCCACAAACACAGGCCTCTGGAACTTTTCATAGTCTGAAAGGCCCCTCTCCTGCCACCCTGCTGCTTGTTCAGGTCTGAGCGCTTCGCCCTCTCCAGGGATATTTTACCAGACAGCACACCCTGCTGCGTCTCGCCAGCCTGCCAAGTCTCTGGCAATGCCCCCTTGCTGCCTCCCTCCACCCAGCTCTGAGCCTGCCAGCAGCTCACCGGTCCAGAACAGGTCACTGAGCCATTCTGGGGCTGACACTCAGGGTGGCACGGCAAACAGTGTCTGGCATTCACATACTCCCTGGGGAGCCTGAGAGAAGAAACGGTGGTGAGGGGGTCTGAGAGTAGCCCCCTGCACCCCTCCAGCCACCCCTCTCCTCTGCCCCGCATACCCCTGCAGTACTCGGCATTCCTCCACGCACTCCTGGCCCCTAAGGAACTGGCTGCAGTTGACACACTGGGTGGGCCCGGGACCCCAGCAGTGCCCTCGGGCACACAGCGGGTGGCAGGCCAGGTCCTTGCCCACTGCAGTGAGGAGGAAGGGACCACAGGGGATTTTTAAGGGAGGCCCCAGGTCCAAGTGAATCAGGGAACTGGCCGTGGGCATGGCTCTGGGCTGCAGGGGTGGGGACAGGTGGGACAGATGTAGGAAGAGGAAGAGTTCTGAGATTTCAGAAACAGAGGGGGAGGGAAGGAGGCCAAGGCAGGTAGGACCCAGCTAGAGAAGCCATGCCAAGAGGCCAAGCCAGCCAGAGCTGAGTCAAGAGGGCGCACAGGGACAGGCAGCCTGCACAAGTCCAAGAACGCTGCTGCCAGGGCCCCGTGGGCACTACGTGCTGGCAGATGGGGAGTACGCACTGGGCTCCCTGTCTTACCACACTCATGCTCTGGCCGGTTGGCAGTGTGGAGCAGGGCTTGGTGCGGGTTCCGGAAGAGATTGTCCCAGGGCACCGTGTGCACGAAGCAGAGGCGGGCATTGTGGTGGATGAGGGCCAGTCCACTGCCCAGTTCCCGCAGTGAGCGCAGCCCCAGCCAGCTGATGCCCAGCCCTTGCAGGGTCAGCGAGTAGGCGCCACTATGGGAGAACGCACGCCCTTCACAGTCAGCAAAGACTACCTACATTCCCTCCGTCCCCAGCGCACTCTGCGAACTCTCACGGAAAGGTTACTGCTGTGTCCCGGGGGAACAGGAGTACTCCCCCAGGCCCCAAGCTTCCGACAGGGACTCCTCCCTGGGACTCCTCCCCTATCAGGCCCCCTCCTTCCCAGGGCTCACTTGTGCAGAATTCGTCCTCGGATTACTTGCAGGTTCTGGAAGACGCTGAGGTCAGGCAGGCTGTCTGGCCATGCTGAGATATACAGGTAACCTGCAGGCAGAGGTTGAGATGAGGGGGCTGGGGACCTGACAAGGACTCCCAGCCCCTGCAGAGCAGGATACAAAGACAGAGCCCACCTGTGATCTCTTCCAGAGTCTCAAACACGTGGAGCTGCTCTGGCTGTAGGGGGACGGTGTTGGAGGCTGGGTCCCTGGAGGAATCAGGAGTTAGCAGGGCCAGGAACAGGCTGGACATCACTCCCAGCGCTGGGTGTGCCAGCCCACTCCCCACCGTGACTGCCTTCCCTCAAACCCTTTGCCCATCCAGACCGGCTGTTCCCATCCTGGACTTCAAAGCCCAGACCTTAGTTTGGCAACATCTATGAAAACAGTATTTATCCTTTGATCTAGAAATCTTGTTTCTAGGAATGTGGCCTAAGGGAGACACTGGCCTGTGTTCCCAGAGCCATATACGAGGTGGAACTGTTTGTAAGAGTAAAAATGGAACATGATCTCCATGTCTGTTAGTAAATAGGGGAGCTGTTAAATAAAACCCTGAGCCACCCAGACCACATAATAAAAATCAATATTTAGGAGCACTTAGTATCTGCCAGGCACTGTTCCAAGAGCTTTACAAATATTAACTCATTCAAATTTTATCATCATCTGGCCAGGCGCGGTGGTACAATCATCTTCTGAGGTTGAGACTATTCTTGGCCCCATTTTACAGATGAGGAAACTGAAGCACAGCACGAGAGTCACATGCCTAGTAAGTAGTACAGCCAGGTTTCAAACCCAGGCAGTCTGGCTCCCAAGTCTGGGCTCTTAGCTGCCTCTCCTTGCTGCCATCTGCTCAGCAGCTATTGAGAATGAGGCAGTTTGACTCCCAAAGCAAGGTGTAGACAGTGCTCCCCATATGCTCATGTTTACAGAAACCAACCTCCCCACCAAAACGATGAAAACCACACTTCACTGTGTGTATGTCTACAGATGCATAAATGGTCTAGATGAACAGACACACTGTTAACCCTGATCCCCTCTGGAATGGAGAGTGGAGGTAAAGGAAGCATGAAAGAGAATTTTCTTTTTTTTTCCTTTTCCTGAGACAGGGTCTCACTTTGTCAGCCAGGCTAGAGTACAGTGGCATGATCTCAACTCACTGCAACCTCCACCTCCCAGGCTCAGGTGATTCTCCCACCTCAGTCTCCCTAGTAGCTGAGACTACAGGTGAACACCACCATGCCTGACTAATTTTTTCTATTTTTTTTGTAGAGATGGGATCTCACTATGTTTTCTTGAACTCCTGGGCTCAAGCAGTCCTCCTGCCTCAGCCTCCCAAAGTGCTGGGATTATAGGCGTGAGCCAATACTTGTAATGTGCACCACCATGCCTGGCCCAATTCTTTTTTTTTTTTTTGTGACAGGGTTTCACTCTGTTGCCCAGGCTGGAGTGCAGTGGCAAAATCTCAGCTCACTGCAACTTTCACCTCCCAGGTTCAAGCAATTCTCCTGGCTCAGCCTCCCAAGTAGCTGGACTACAGGTGCATACTACCAAGCCTGGCTAATTCTTTTTATTGTAGAGACGGGGTTTCACCACGTTGGCCAAGCTGGTCTTAAATTCCTGACCTCAAGTAATCTGCCTGCCTTAGCCTCCCAAAGTGCTGGAATTACAGGTGTGAGCCACTGTGCCTGGCCCCAATTCATTTTTTATTGAAGTATAACTTATATACAATAAAATGCACAGACTCTTAGCATACAGTTTGATGTTTTGACAAAAGCACTCACTCATGTATCCACTACCCCAATCAATATACAGAACATTTTTCTTTCTTTCTCTTTTTCTTTTTTGACAGTCTTGCTTTGTCGTCCAGGCTGGAGTGTAGTGGCATGATCTCGGCTCACTGCAACCTCTGCCTCCCAAGTTCAAGCAATTCTCCTGCCTCAGCCTCCTGAGTAGCTGGGATTACAGGCACACACCACCATGCCTGGACAATTTTTGTATGTTTAGCTGAGACAGGGTTTCACCATGTTGGTCAGGCTGGTCTCGAACTCCTGACCTCATGATCTGCCCTCCTCGGCCTCCCAAAGTGCTGGGATTACAGGCGTGAGCCACCATGCCTGACCCAGAACATTTCTATTACCCCAGAAATGTCCCTTGTGTCCCTCTCTTTTGAGGCCTCCCCACACCCTAGGGCAGCCACCGTTCTGATCTCTCCCACCACAGAGTGGTTTTGTGTGTTCAGAGCCTCACATAAAGGGGATCAGACAGTATGGAATCTTGGCTTCTTTTGCTCAGTGTAATGTGTCTGAGATTCATTCATGTTGTATCGGTAGTTCATCTCCTTCTGTTGCTAAGTAGAATTTCACCAAATGGATACACTGCCGCTTGTGTAACCCTTCACCTAGTCATGCACATTTGAGTTTTTTATAATTTGGGGATATTTTTTATAAAGCTGCTATGAACTCAAAGGGACTTTTGCTTTATCTAGATGGTCTGACCTCCTTATAAGTCCTTGTTCACGGATAGCATGTCCTTTACAAAAATAACCACCCCCACCCCAAAGGCCCTGCTCCCTCTGGTCTCCCATCTGCTTCCTGTATATTCTTGCCCCACCCCGCCGACAACTTCTGTCTCCTGCCACCCCCCAGAGATGCTGTCACACCCGGGTCCTCAGGACTCTGTCTGCCCTGACAGAGTCTCAGGGCCATCGTGCCCACTCTTACCCATCAAAGCTCTCCGGCAGAAATGCCAGGCTCCCGAAGATCTTCTTGCAGCCCACAAACTCCTGGATATTGGCACTGGTGACTGCCCTCACCTCTCGCAAGTGCTCCATGCCCAGACCATAGCACACTGAGGGGTGGAAGTGGGTGGTGAAGGGGCCGTCTCAGCCTTCACACCAAGACTAGTCAACAGCCACATGGGCATTAGGGTCCAGGCCCCTCCCCATGCTGACGAAGGATATATGGACACTTGTAGGGCTGAGGGGGGCAGGGGTAGAGAGAGTAGAAGGAAAGGACTGGGTTCCAGGAGGGTCTGAGGAAAGACGGGAAAACGTGGGCTGGGCCAGGCTGCAGGTGCAGAGGGACAGAGCGGGTACCTCGGGCACAGGGCTTGCTGCACTTCTCACACCGCTGTGTTCCGTCCTCCGCTGTCACCTCTTGGTTGTGCAGGGGGCAGACAAGCGTGCAGGATCCCACATCCGTTGATAGGTAGTTGTCTAAGGAGAGCGGGAACGTGTATCCACGTACCTGGCCCTTCGTGCACCACCATAAGCAGTGTCACCATGCCCAGGTACAAGAAGAATAATATCAACCAATACTTAGATGCCCTACCATGCACCAGCACGTGACACCCATTTACTCCTCACAGCAACCACATGGGATCAGCACTGTGAGATTCCCATTTTGCAAAAAGGGAGACCAAAGCAGAGCACTCTGTAAATTATCCAAGGTCACTGTGCTAGTGAGTGGAGGAACGAGGATTTGAACCCAAATGGTCTGGCTTCACAGTTCTTTTTTTTTTTTTTTTGAGACAGAGCCTGTTGCCCAGGCTGGAGTGCAATGGCGTAGTCTCAACTCGCTGCAACCTCCGCCTCCCCAGTTCAAGCGATTCTCCTGCCTCAGCCTCCCAAGTAGCAGGGACTACAGGCGCATGCCACCACACCTGGCTAATTTTTGTATTTTTAATAGAGACAGGGTTTCACCATGTTGGCCAGGCTGGTCTCGAACTCCTCACCTTGTGATCCACCCGCCTCGGCCTCCCAAAGTGCTGGGATTACAGGCATGAGCTACTGCACCTGGCCTGGCTCTACATTTTGTTCTCTTCCCAATACAGTCAGCCAGGACCTGAAGGCCCACTCCTGTTCCTGTGAGAGAAGGAAAGAGGTTCCCCAGGTCGGAGCCCAGTCCATAAATGCTCATTAGAAAACAGGTGAGCTGTTAAATAAAACTGATCTAGGCTGGATACAATAGCTCACACTTGTCATCCCAGCACTTTGTAATCCCTGATCACTTAAGGTCAGGAGTTTGAGACCAGCTTGGCCAACATGGTGAAACTCCATCTCTACTAAAAATACAAAAATTAGCCAGGTGTGGTGGGGCACACTTGTAGTCCCAGCTACTAGAGATTGAGGCACAAAAATAGCTTGAATGTGGAGGGCAAAGGTTGCAGTGAGCCGAGATTGCACCACTGCACTCCAGCCTGGGCAACAGAACTAGACTCTGTCTTTTAAAAAAAATCCAGGTGAGGTGGCTCACGCCTGTAATCCCAGCACTTTGAGTGGCCAAGGCAAGTGGATTGCCTGAGGTCAGGAGTTCAAGACAAGCCTGGACAACGTGGTGAAACCCCATCTCTACTAAAAATACAAAAATTGACCAGGCACGGTAGCTCACACCTGTAATCCCAGTACTTTGGGAGGCCAAGGCGAGTGGCTCACCTGAGGTCAGGAGTTCGAGACCACCTGGCCAACATGGTGACACCCCATCTCCACTAAAAAAAAAAAAAAAAAAAAAAAATAGCAAGGCATGGTGGAGGGCGCCTGTAATCCAAGCTCCTTGGGAGGCTTAGGCAGAGAATTGCTTGAACCCAGGAGGTAGAGTTTGCAGTAAGCCAAGATTACACCACTGCACTTCAGCCTGGGCAACAAGGCAAAACTCCATCTCAAAAAAAAAAAATTAGCCAGGCATGGTGGTGGGCGCTTGTAATTCTAGCTACTCAGGAGGCTGAGACACAAGAATAGCATGAACCCAGGAGGCAGAGGTTGCAGTGAGCCAAGATCGTGCCACTGCTAAACTAAACTCAGTCTCAAAAAATTAAAATTAAAATTAAAGGTAAGGGCCTGGCGCGGTGGCTCAAGCCCGTAATCCCAGCACTTTGGGAGGCCGAGGCGGGTGGATCACGAGGTCGAGAGATCGAGACCATCCTGGTCAACATGGTGAAACCCCGTCTCTACTAAAAACACAAAAAAGTAGCTGGGCATGGTGGCGCTTGCCTGTAATCCCAGCTATTCGGGAGGCTGAGGCAGGAGAATTGCTTGAACCCAGGAGGCAGAGGTTGCGGTGAGCCGAGATCGCGCCATTGCACTCCAGCCTGGGTAACAAGAGCGAAACTCCGTCTCAAAAAAAAAAAAAAAAAAAAAAAAAAAAAAAAAAAAAAAATTAAAGGTAAAACTGATGTAGCCAGACTACAGAATAAAAGCTAACATTTAGGAGCACTTAGTACATAGCAGACATTGTTCTAAGAGCTTTACAAATATTAACTCAGTCAAGTTTATAACCACCTTATGAGGCTGGGACTATTCTTGCCCCCGTTTTACAGATGAGGAAACTGAGGCACAGCACAAGGGTCACGTGCCTAATAAGTGATAGAGCCAGGTTTCAAACCCAGGCAGTCTGGCTCCCAAGTCTGGGCTCTTAGCTGCCTCTCCTTACTGCCACCTGCTCCACAGCTGTTGAAAGAACAAGGCAGTTCGGCAGGAACCGTCACGACTGGCTCCCAAAGCAAGGTGCGGACAGTGCTCCCCATATGCTCCCATTTACAGAAACCAACCTCCCCACCAAAATGATGAAAGCCATGTTTCTCCCTGGCACTCACAGGGACAGGCAGTCACACAGCTGGCGCCAAATGTATACCGGCCCTCAGGGTTGGGCATGGACTCAAAGGTGTCTGTGTTGTAGGTGACCAGGGCTGGGCAGTGCAGCTCACAGATGCCACTGTGGTTGAAGTGGAGGCAGGCCTGGGAGGACAGGTGGCTGGTTGTTACTGTGTTGTTTTTCCCTGGTGTGCCAGGGGCAATAGGGCAGTACCAGGCAGGGTGCCCACCCCATGCATCCTGGGGAATAGGGCACAGTAGGCACAAGGCAGAGGCACATACCAGGCAGTCGGAGTGCTTGGGGCCTGTGCAGCCGGCAGCACACTGCTCATGGCAGCAGTCAGTGGGCAGCGGGCCCTTGCAGCGGGCACAGCCACCAGCACAGACAGTGCGTGTCACTGTTGGGCAAAGGGCAGGATGAGGGCTGAGTGGCACCCTGGGCACTAGACCCACATCAGCATCACCTTCTAGGGAGACTACCTACCCCAGGAAAGACATCCCAAACCTGTTATCCCACCCCTCCCTTGTCGCCTATATGACACCTGTATTCCACCCTGCCCTTGCCCTCCCCTCCCCTGACTCCAGGCCTCCCTGAGACTCACGGCTCTGACAGTCCTCAGAACTCTCTCCCCAGCAGCGGGAGCCCTTACACACCGGAGAACAGGGGTGGCCTGAGGACAGAACCAGAGAGAGGCAGTGAGAGAGATGTCTAACAGCAAGAGCACAGGTTAATAACGGAGAGAGACACCAACAGCAGCAGAAGCCACAAGGCCGACTGCACAGCAAGGGAGGGACCGCAACAGGCAGAGAGGCCCCCAAACTAGAGGCACCACCTAGAGGCAGAGGGAGACAGGACAGGGAACCCCAGAGCCAGAGATGAAGAGGCACAGAGAGATGGCAGGAGGGATGGAGAGGGAGGAAATGGGTGGTGTAGGTAGCTGGGGCAGTGGCGGGCGGGTGCTGGGTTGTACGCCAGGAGTCTGGGGCTGGGGTCAGGCTGTCCAAGAGAAGGGGCAGCAGGGAGGAGCATGGCTTACAGGCCCGAGAGCGGTTGGTGTCTATCAGTGTGAGAGCCAGCTGGTTGTTCTTGTGGAAGATGTCCTTCCACAAAATCGTGTCCTGGTAGCAGAGCTGGGGGTTCCGCTGGATCCAGACCCCTCCCTTCAAGATCTCTGTGGGGTGAGCAATGATCAGGGATCCTTTCCCCTTCAGTCACCTTCTGCCTCCCTTGGGGCCCTCATGCCTTCTAAGACAGGAGCAGCCTTTAAACAACCCCTCGATTTCCCAGGGAGGAGAGAAGAGATCTTTAGCATCTTTGAGCCCTACCAATACCACCCCCACAACATGAACAAAGCGAGACCCAGGGAGGAGTGAGTTGTCCATGCTAGGTCCAGACGCCCACGTGGACCGCAGCTTTCTCCTTCCCTCTCACCTGTACTCTGGGCACGCTGCTTGGTGGTTAAGAGACCGTGGAGTCCGAAACCCAGCCCCATCACTCACTAGCTATGTAACTTTTGTCCCTTATCTCATCTGTAGAATGAGAATCACTGATTCTTTCCTGACAGGACTGCAGCGTGACTGAAATGGGACCCTGCAGGCAAAACACATGGCACCCAGACTCTGGGCACAGTTGGCTCCAGGCCACCAAATAGTGACACGGGTTGTTCACTGTACACTTCACTTAGCCAAGTTGGGGCAAAAACCCAGCCTGCATTGTATGATCAAATGATGTACGCTGATGCAAGATGCACCTTCCTAGGAAGACAGGGAATCTTTTTCCAGTCTTCTGAGAGCGTCTTCCTGGGCTCTGCCTGCATCTGCCTAGAGGGACACCATTTCTTTTTTTTTTCTCCCCCCGCCGAGATGGAGTTTCACTCTTGTTGCCCAGGCTGGAGTGCCACGGCGCGATCTCAGCTCACCGCAACCAACCTCTACCTCCTGGGTTCAAGGGATTCTCTTGCCCCAGCCTCCTGAACAGCTGGGATTATAGGCATGTGCCACCACCACACATGGCAAATTTTGTATTTTTAGTAGAGACAGGGTTGCTCCATGTTGGTCAGGCTGGTCTCAAACTCTTGACCTCAGGTGATCCCCCTGCCTCACCTCCCAAAGTGCTGGGATTGCAGGCGTGAGCCACCGTGCCCAGCAGAGGGGACACCATTTCTAATCCACACAAAGCCTGCCCATGGTCAGCTGTGGCCCTGGTCAGCTCTGAATAACCAAGAGAAAGTTTCAATGATGGTAAAGGCCACCTGTGAGGCTTCGAAGCTGCAGCTCCCGCAGGCCTCCTGGGGAGGCCCCTGTGACAGGGGTGGTATTGTCCAGAGGGTCTCCGTTGTCTAGCACGGCCAGGGCATAGTTGTCCTCAAAGAGCTGGGTGCCTCGTACAATCCGCAGCCTCTGCAGCGGGACCTGTCTCACTTGGTTGTGGGCGATGAGCACGTAGCCCTGCACCTCCTGTATATCCTGGTAGGGAGCAGTAGGGTGGGGCTGAAGCAGGAGCACTACCATCCCCCAAGGCCTCCCTGAGGTTCCCCAGTACTTGGGGATCTTGGGCAAAGCCCCCAGTCACTGAGCAGTCCTGTTCCCTCATACATAACATGATAAAATGGAGATAAAGGTGATGCCCTGCCTTGCCTCACCAGATTCTTACACGATCAAGAAAGATAACGGTGGGGGGGCCACTTCGTAAACTCTGAGCAGGTGCCCCACCCTCTCTGCATCTCACTTTCTTCATCAGTGAAAGCAAAGGCCTGGATGGGATGGCGTCTACAATTTGACAAACCAAGCAGGTGACCCCACTCCAAGGTACGTGGACACGACCCAGCAGGCTGGTTTCCACTCTCTCTCTCCTGTTCATAACCTTTTCACAGACATTTCTCTTTCAAGCTTCACAATGGGTACCTATTGCTCCCAATATACAGATAGGGACACTGAGACCCAGTGAAGCGAAGCGGGTGTAGGCCACATTCATAGGGCTCAGCAGTGGCAGAACTGGGGCTGTAATCCACCTTTCTCACCAGCCCTTTCTGCTGCTCTAGGTGGGAGAGGGACAGTGGCTGGGGCACGTGGACGGGGGACATGATCATGCTGATAAGAGAGCACAAGCTATAGCAGAAACCCAGATGCATCCCATCCAGAGATGTTCTCAGCCAGCCACATTATAGAGAGAGTCAACTGATTCAGCAGTAAAATGAATGGGGGTTGGACGTTAGAAAGGACTTCCTGGTTGAGAAACAACAAGAGAGGAAATAAAGGGCATGGCACCTTCTTCTGCCACCCACCTGTAAACAGGGCTCAGCCCAGCTGGAGGCAGGGCCTGGCTGGGTTGCCCATGGGCCTCACCTGCAGGAAGGAGAGGCTGGCATTGGTGGGCAGGTAGGTGAGTTCCAGGTTACCCTGCACCACCTGGCAGCCCTGGTAGAGGTGGCGGAGCATGTCCAGGTGAGTCTCGGGACTGGCAGGGAGCCGCAGCTTCATGTCTGTGCCGGTGCACACTGGCAGGAGGGAGCAGATGGGTCAGAGGACACTGGCCAGGGACCTTCTCAGATCTGGCCACCCCATCCAAACTCATTCCCAGAGTCATGCCACCTCAGACAGGGAGAAGGCCCGACTGAAGGACCCTTCCACCCACGTCCCTTGAACCTGCAGGGTTAACAGCAGAAGAAAGCTTGTGTGTTTGGGAAGTAGAGGGATTTCAGGGGAGAGGCTCCTTCTGACTGGGCCCACCCTGTACATCCAGAGGCAGCCCCAGTGTGCCAGCCCTGTGGAGCTCGCCTGCCAGTACAGGGTGTTGGCTGGAAAAGAAAGACTCCCTTTGTCCCAAAGGGACAACTCAGAGCCAGGGGTAAAAATCCCCCAAGAGAGGCAATGACGAATCATGAATCTTCTGGATACCCTCTGCCCCTCTCCCAAGCAAACAAACTTGGGGCATTCTCCCTATGCCATTCCAGTACACCCACGTGCCAACCTCCTGGCAAGGGGTGCACACCCCCGTAATGCCACCCAGAGAGTGGGGAAGGAGGGTCAGCTGGACTTGTAGCGGGGGCATGGGGCAACCAGGGCCCTGGTCATTGCAGAGACCTCTGGGAGTCCCCCATGAAGAGAAAAGGAGCATCAGACTCCAGCTGTGGGCATCTGGACACAGGCTGCAGATCCTAGGCCAGGGTGGCACAGATCCTGCACCAAGGTTTCCTGCGCTGGCACCCTCATCTGGCCACCTCCTCAGGGCAAGACTCCAGAACCAGCTGGCAGAATCCGTGCCACGAAACTGCTACCACAAAGGCACTACGTCAGCCCTGCGTACCTGCCCAGCATCAGCCATCAGCCATCAGCCATCGGCCATGGGACACAGAGCTGAACTGCCACACCTGGCCCACCTGGACCCCAGCCTGGTATCCCTGAGACCAGAAATGCCCATGAAGGCCATGAATACTAGAGGGGGTAAAGAATCCCTGGTGAGGGGGTGCTAGGGTAGCAGCTCACACCAGGCCTGCCAGTGGGGGGAGATGAAAGTGCCCAGTTGAACTTGTTTTTCTGCTCTGGTGAGATGAATCACCTTGCGTGTCTTGCCCAGGAGATCGGGAGGGTGAGGGCGGAGGGCACCCTCAGGCCCACAGGCCCACAGGTGCCTGAGCTGCCCAGAATTCCTGCCGGTTACTGCTCCGCCTCCCACAGGCTACATGCAGATTCAGGGACAGCACAAGGGCTGGCTTGGGGTCTGACCCCAGAGGCACTGCTCTCCCAGCACGTCAGAGCCTAAGGTCAAATCCTAGGGGGTAATACAAGGTATCCCCCGCCTTCAGAGACCTAGGAGATCCTGGTAGGGTGAGCCCCCAGGTTCCCTACCCAGGCCAGTGGCCTGGCCACAAACTGGTGGTCTCCCAGTAATACCCAGAGTGGCCTCTATGCCCACCTCTCTGGGCAGATATGGACAAAGAGGGAGGAATGGGAGGGCCCAGAAATAGAACTCAAGGGTCCATGTCCCTGATGGAGGCCTCCCTACTCCATGCCTCACCCACTTGTACCCTCTCCTCTTCTCCTCCTCCCCCCACAGACTCCCAAGAGAAACAGGAGCTGGGGGTGGCAGGCCAGGCCCAAAATAACGCCCTGTTGCCAGGATCTCCCCCGGCCTCAGCCCTTCAGCTGCTTTATAGACACAGCTGTCTGCAGGCCCAGACCCCAGGCCCTGGCCCAAGCCCAGGGTCCCCACAGGGCTGGGGCAGGGGCCAACTCCACCCCCTGCAGCCCTTTTCAAGGGACACCAGCTGTGGCCACCAGGCAATAGGAAAACAACAACAATGGGGAGTGGGGGCCACCGAAGTCACTGAGCTGAGTACCTACCGTGTACCAGCTGAGCACCTACTGTGTACCCAGCAGGCACTCTGGGTGGATCTATATAACATGCTCCACAGACTGGGCGCTGCAACCTCCTCCATCTTGCAAAGAAGACAACTGAGGCTGGCAGGGGTTAGCTCCTCATCATAAAGCTTGCGAACAACAGGCAGGACTGGAACTCAGGCCAGCCTGCCTTCAGATCCTGCATTCCTTCCACTAGGTCTAAATGCATATACACAAATCCACCCCACACCCCACGCCAACGTAAATACACGCTAATTCTCCCGATGCCTCCGATAAACACCACAGGCTCTAGGCAGGGCAGGGTGGCTGGGCTGGGTTGGACTGGAGGGTCAGAACGGGTTGTAGCCCCACCCCACTAGTGAGTTTGTTTACCTGATTTGTGGCCAATTTGAGTCTGATTAAGAATCTTAGTGTCTGCAGACAGGTGGTAAAATTGGTACCCTGAGAACCGTTCCCAGGGAACTGGGTGTTTGCTGGCTAACACCCCCACCAGCCTACATGAGGGGAGGCCTTCCTGACACCTCCCTCCCACTCTCCCATCTCCTTAGCATGGTCCCCACATCTGCCGTGTCCCATTGACTTTCTTTTTTCGAAATGGAGTCTTGCCCTGTTGCCCAGGCTGGAGTGCAGTGGCTCGATCTCAGCTCACTGCAACCTCTGCCTCCCAGGTTCAAGCAATTCTCCTGCCTCAGCCTCCTGAGTAGCTGGGATTACAGGCACCTGCCACCACACGGGGCTAATTTCTGTATTTTTAGTTGAGACCGGGTTTCATTATGTTGGTCAGGCTGGTCTCGAACTCCTGACCTTGTGATCCGCCTGCCTCGGCCTCCCAAAGTGCAGAGATTACAGGCATGAAGCACAGCGCCTGGCCCCCACTGATTTTTTTGGGTGGTAGGTACTAATTCTACCCAGGAGTGTCCTTATCTCCAGGACCCTGGTCTTCAGGAACCCCCACCTCCAATTCTCCAGAGCAAAGATAGTATGAGGCAGGACCAGCCTCAGGGAGTGCTGGATAAGTGTCTGCTGAGTGAGTGAATGAATGAATGAATGAAATCCAGTCAAGAGTCTCCAAACAAATGGGGCCAGCTGAGGTCACGGTATCTATCTCTCTGCTCAGAGCTGGTCACAGTCCTTCATGTCTCTCTGGATTCTGGTGGTCAGGACTTGACCCCAGTCCTGGGGTTTCCCTCAGGTAGATTCTCTCCTCCCCACCAGCCTGCAGCCCCAGCTGCTCCTTTTGCTCACAGCAGAAGAGCTATCACTTCCCTTGGTTTCCATGAACACTACAGTAAAACAACCTGCGTCCCCAGACCCATAATGTTACAGCCCATTAAAGTGACACTGGTACTCCCCGACCACAAACACCTGGTGTATCAGGTCTGACATCAGACCAGGGACTGGGCCCAGGGTCTTTAGATGAGAACCCTAGCTCGGCTATTCACTGAGCGATCTTGAGCAAGTTCCCAGACCTCCAGGGCAGAAGCCAAATCGGATTCATCTCTATGCCCCGCAGTGCCTGCAACTCTGGATATTTACTGACCTCAACTGGGCTGGAACAGCTCTTACTCCCTCAGAGAAGGTATATGAGAGTTAAATGAGGTAATGAATTGCGCAGCTGTCTGTAAACACGAGGAGGCTTTGTAAACAGAACTGGGACAACACAAACATTCGCCAGAACAATTCTCCCACTCCTTGAAAGAGCACACATCCCTTACCCCTACCTCGGCTCTCTTCTCAGCGGGAGGATGGGTGGCCAAACAAAAGAAAAAGGTACCACTCTAGAGGGGCTTCCTACAGGTCGGAAGGGGACTCTCTTTCCAGATCATTCTATCACCCAAGGACAGCCATAACTACCCCGGGCCCCACCCCAACCCTCCCAGCCACAGCCCCACACTGGCCCCTCATGCTGCCACTTCAGCTGTCTCTCTCACCCACAGCCCTGTGTGTAAGAGTGGCCCCTGTACCCTCCTGCCCTCAGCCCCCTGCCATGGTAGGAGGTCCCTAAAGCTAGGCAGGCACTGGCTGGACAGGGAGAGGACTCCGAAGTCAGGAGGGGACCTCAGGGCCCGCCAGCTCAGCCCCATTTTCTGCAGCCTAGAGAAGTGGATGGAAAGGTCATTCGCCTGAACAAGACGAGCACCTCTCCTCCCATCTGGCCACCTGCCTGCCCCTAAGGCTTTGTTCAACCCATTATTGTTGGCTGGAATAAGACTCTAACTACCTCTTATTGCCTCCTCATCAGAGCCCAAAAATGCCCTGGACATTACTGGGTAGCTGGGAGCCTTGGGTAAGTTGCTTCATTTCTCTGAACTTCCATTGTCTCATCTGTGCACCTACTTCACAGGACTGTTGCAGAGATTAAATGAAACCATGAATAAAAACCTAGCCTAGCGCCGGGCGCGGTGGCTCAAGCCTGTAATCCCAGCACTTTGGGAGGCCGAGGCGGGTGGATCACGCGGTCAAGAGATCGAGACCATCCTGGTCAACATGGTGAAACCCCGTCTCTACTAAAGGTGCAAAAAATTAGCTGGGCATGGTGGCGTGTGCCTGTAATCCCAGCTACTCCGGAGGCTGAGGCAGGAGAATTGCCTGAACCCAGGAGGCGGAGGTTGCGGTGAGCCGAGATCGCGCCATTGCACTCCAGCCTGGGTAACAAGAGCGAAACTCCGTCTCAAAAAAAAAAAAAAAAAAAAAAAAACCCAGCCTATACGAAGTACACCGTACATTTCTTCAAAGTTAAGGCAAGACAGGTTCATACAGCAGGAATATGGGTAATAAACCACGAGAAAATTAGAATTGTTTCGTGTTTGACTTTAGAATGCCACATATGTTTTTCTTTTTACATTTAATCCTTCTTTTCCATTTTTTTATTTTTTCAAATAAAATGAGTACTTTCCCCAAGTACAGTAAAGAGAGGAGGCTGTTGGAAGAATCATACTCGAATTAAAATATGAAGGAGTGCTGCAAGATTAAAAGGACGTACTTGCTGCAATTTGCAAAAATCTGCACCTCTAGGCCGGGCGCGGTGGCTCAAGCCTGTAATCCCAGCACTTGGGGAGGCCGAGGCGGGTGGATCACGAGGTCAAGAGATCGAGACCATCCTGGTCAACATGGTGAAACCCCGTCTCTACTAAAAATACAAAAAATTAGCTGGGCATGGTGGCACGTGCCTGTAATCCCAGCTACTCAGGAGGCTGAGGCAGGAGAATTGCCTGAGCCCAGGAGGCGGAGGTTGCAGTGAGCCGAGATCGCGCCATTGCACTCCAGCCTGGGTAACAAGAGGGAAACTCCATCTCAAAAAAAAAAAAAAAAAAAAAAAAATCTGCACCTCTAAGAAAGGATCTCAGCAAAATCCTGACCCCTCCGAGGCTCCCTCTAGGCCTTCCCTTCCCCCATTCCTGCCCCAGCCCTCAGCCCTTGAGTAAAATCTGGGTGCCGGAGGCAAATGGGTGGTGCACTTTTTTTTTCTGAAATAGGGTCTCATTCTGTCACCAAAGCTGGAGTGTAGTTGTGATCATCGCTCACTGCAGCCTCAACTTCCTGAGCTCAGGTGATCCTCCTGCCTCAGCCTCCAGAGTAGCTGGGACTACAGGCATGTGTCACCACATCCAGCTAATTTTTGTATTTTTGTACTGAAAGAGTTTTGCCATGTTGCCCAGGCTGTGCAATGACTTTTTAACCATCTCCTGCACAACACAATCAATAGTGCAGGTTGAGGGGTGAGGACATGAGGAGGCACCAGCCAGAGAACCCAGCCCTGAAATCCAGCTCTGCAGCAGCTGCTATTCCTTTATCAACTCTCAGCCCAAGGTGAAGAAGGGCAGCAGCTCAGCCTGACAGCCCAGCCTGGCCTCACTCTTCTCATCAGAAGATGAGAAGGTGAAGATGCCTGTCTGGGAAACAGGGAGGGCAAGGATGGACTCCCTGGAAGAAAGGAGCCTGCTTCCTCAGCAAGAAGGCGTGGCCACAGAAGGCTACTCCCTCTGTTTATGGCATATCTGGCCCAGCACCTTGAGGGAGTTCCTGGAGAGGACAGAGTTCAGCCTGTGTCCCCAAGTCAGCAGAGGGGCTGCTGTTTGGCAACACAAAGCCCAGACACACAATCACAAAGACCACACAACTCAGGAACAGCTTAGCATAGACATACACTCACTCACAGAGGGCCCCTCGGGCAACACACAGACACGACGACGCCTACCCCCTCCCCAAACCCCCCTGACCTATAGGGACCACCCACGACTCCCAGAACACTTTCATTTTGTCTCCCCTACAACCCAGTGATTCAGGGCACAGTGTCCCTCATTGCTCCAGGTGCATTCATTCATACAGTGATTTCGAATGCATGGTTGGAGGTCGCACTGCCTGGGGTCCCATCTTGACCCCACCATTTACCGGCTGCTACTCAACCTCTTTAAGTCCAGAATGCTGGCAAACCTTCCACTATAGAGGTGTTCTAGGATTAAAGGAGAGTGCATACAAAACGCCACACACAGGTCCTGGCAGAGTATACCTGGGCCAGGCTATATGTTAGCTTTCGTGATTAATGCACACAGGTGGACAGATGGGTCAGGATACACACTGCCCCCACTCACCCTTCCCCAAGCACAGCACCAAGGAAAAGGCAGCAGAACCATGCAGCCCTCCCTAGGCCCCCATCTGGCCCCTTTCTTAGCTTCCTTCCCTGGGAGTTCTCCCACTTTACACACCAAGAAACCCACCACCACCCCTCCATGGTCCACGCGCTCTAAAAGTCACAGAGCACAGTCCCTAGGCTGGCCCTAAGAATCTGTTCGAAGCAAACGTCTCCCCCGCCCCAAACCCAGACCCCAGCAAGAGGCCACCCTCTGGGCCACCCTTTCCTCCCCGGCTATGTTTGGGACAGGTTGCTATGCCACCCCACCACCCCACCACCCCACCACACACACCACGGACCCAGCCAGAAGCAGGAGCAACCAAACCAAAATCGTCTGAAGGGGAGCGGGGAGGGGCTGGCGGAGGGGCAGGGCAGAGGATCCCCCCAAGGAATCCAGCCCAGGCCAGTCCGGAGGCGGAGGCTGCCAACTGGAAAGGCTTTGAGAAAGCTTGAGGGGGCTCGAGAAGGGGGAAAACACGCGCTCACGCTCTATGCAATACACCCATTGAGGGAAAAGTTTCTAAACAATTTCAGAGAATTTCTTTGACAAGCTCCCGGAACCCCCTGGGAGCCTGTAAAGCGCCAGTCTCGAATGGGCCATCTCGAGCCGCTGCCGTGTAACTGCCCCCTCCGGCCCGAGGGCCCTGCTGCCCCGAGCGTCTGGACCGTCCGCAACTTCGGGATGGAAGAGCTCGTCCGGGCCCCTCTGGCCCCGCCGGCGGGTAGACCTCTGAGGGGGATCCAGGAGGCAAGGTCCCGCCGCTGCTCCGTCCCCTCCCCACACCAGACCCACCTTGGGTGCCCGCGGCTCCGGGGGGCAAGAGGGAGAGGAGGAGCCCCCAGCGGCACCAGGCCGCCAGCTCCATGGTGCTCACTGCGGCTCTGGCCCCATGGCTCCGACTAGACCCGGCTGGTGGGGCGCGGGGAGCGGGGCGCGGCGACGGGTGGAGGCCGGGCGCGCAGCGCCGGAAAGGGCCCCGTGGGAAGGGGCGCGCAGCTGCCTGTGGGGCTCCCCTGGTCTCTCTGGTCCCGAAGGAGGGGAATCTCAGCTCGACAACTTCATTCTTATACTTCCTCAAGCAGCCCTCCTCCTCCACCTCCTCCTCCTCCTGTGATTGGGAGCAAGCGCGCTCCCGGCTCGCCCCCTCCAACTGCATTCCAACAAGTCTGGGAGTGGCAACTCCCAGCTTCACTTTCTCCCTCTCTCCGCGCAGGCCTGGGTGCGTCCCTCCCAGCGCCGGGACGCCTGGGTTGCCTGCAGCCGTTCTCACAATTTTCCTCGGAGAATCCCTAACTGCAGAGGCTGGTGATTCTGCCCTCTCCCACAGAGTCCAGGACAAATTCCCTAGGCTGCCACTCTTCATGCTCTTTTAAGTCGCAGGTTTTATCTTAAACATTCCTGGGGAGCCGGCGTCCTACTCATCCCAAGCCTATTTGTTTTAAAATCAAATAATGGTTTTTCTACCACATCCTCTAGTAAAATTGATAGTCAAGGAGGAGGATGTGTTGTGTTTGCCTTGTGGCTTCCAGGACCCCCGGGCATATCTTGTGGAATCTTTGAAGTACCTTCTCCAGTCTGAAAATCATGATCTCAAGAGGGTCTACAAATCTGGGAGGAGACAGTCATATCGCAAGGGCTTCCTTTTTTTTTTTTTTTTTTTTTTTTCGAGTCGGAGTTTCGCTCTTGTTGCCCAAACTGGAGTGCAATGGCTCAATCTTGGCTCACCGAAAGCTCCGCCTTCTGGGTTCAAGTGATTCTCCTGCCTCAGCTTCCCAAGTAACTGAGATTACAGGCATGTGCCACAATGCCCAGCTAATTTTGTATTTTTAGTGGAGACGAGGTTTCTCCATTTTGGTCAGGCTGGTCTCGAACTCCCGACCTCAGATGACCCGCCCACCTTGACCTCCCAAAGTACTGGGATTACAGGTGTGAGCCACTGCGCCCGGCTGAGGATTTCTATCTCAGTTCTTCAAAGTGCATCCTTCTTGCTTATTTAAGGAGGCACCCAGCACACATGCATGCAATGTTTCTTCTTTGCCCCTTGCCTTCTATTTGCCTGCTTAATTCCACTTCCCAACTACATTCTACTTGGAGCCCCTGACCCTATTCCTTAGGCCTACTGGTAGGGGTGGGGATGGAAGGAAGACTTTTTTTTTTTTTTTTTTTTTTTTTTTTTTTTGAAATTTCAACAAGATAATTGCATGGGGCCAGGCGCGGTGGCTCAAACTTGTAATCCCAGCACTTTGGGAGGCCGAGGCGGGTGGGTCACGAGGTCGAGAGATCGAGACCATCCTGGTCAACATGGTGAAACCCTGTCTCTACTAAAAATACAAAAAAATTAGCTGGGCATGGTGGCAGGTGCCTGTAATCCCAGCTACTCAGGAGGCTGAGGCAGGAGAATTGCCTGAACCCAGGAGGCGGAGGTTGCAGTGAGCCGAGATCGCTCCATTGCACTCTAGCCTGGGTAACAAGAGCGAAACTCTGTCTCAAAAAAAAAAAAAAAAAAAAAAGATATTGTATGGAACATATTTATACTAACAAATTATTCACTATTTATCTGAAATTCAAATTTAACTAGGCCTCCTTATTTTTATGTGCTAAATCCGGCAGTTCTAGTTGGAATGCCCCAGCCCAGAACACAGCTGTAATGGTCAAGAAGGGATCAAAGGCACCTATCAGGGACTGGAGAATGAAGGACACTAGCATCCCTTTCTCTCGCCCCCCCACCACGCCTTTTTAAAGGTGTATACTTGCATTTCTAAACTTGCTTCCCTGTGCTGAGCATACCTATAGGCAGGCACCTCTAGTGGGACAGAACGAAACAGGGGGCTCTGAGACCAAGAGGATCTGAATTCAAATCTTGAATCTATCATATATCAGTCATGTGACCTTGGGCAAGTGAATGAGCATTTCTGGTCTCAGTTGGCTCATCTGTAAAACAGCGATTGGCATACTATGCTGGGGTTAGAGGAGATTGTGCTCCAGAAGCACTCAGCACAGTACTTGGCATATAATAATTCCTCAATAAATGGTCCAGATTTAGTTATACTGGGGCAAATCCAGGTTTTGTGGGGCCTGAAGCTTATATAATTTGGGAAATTTTCTTTAAGAAAGTAATACGAAGTTGGCCAGGTGCAGTGGCTCACGCCTGTAATCCCAGCACTTTGGGAGGCCAAGGTGGGCAGATCACCTGAGGTCAGGAGTTTGAGACCAGCCTGGCCAACATGGCAAAACCCTGTCCCTAATAAAAATACAAAACTTAAGGCCGGGCGCAGTGGCTCACGCCTGTAATCCCAGCACTTTGGGAGGCCGAGGCAGGTGGATCACGAGGTCAAAAGATCGAGACCATCCTGGTCAACATGGTGAAACCCCATCTCTACTAAAAATATAAAAAATTAGCTGGGCATGGTGGCACATGCCTGTAATCCCAGCTACTCAGGAGGCTGAGGCAGGAGAATTGCCTGAACCCAGGAGGCAGAGGTTGTGGTGAGCCGAAATCGCGTCATTGCACTCCAGCCTGGGTAACAAGAGCAAAACTCCGTCTCAAAAAAATAAAAATAAAAAAAATACAAAACTTAGCTGGGCTTGGTGGCGGGCACCTGTAATCTCAGCTACTCAGGAGGCTGAGGCAGGAGAATCGCTTGAACCTGGGAGGCGGAGGTTGCAGTGAGCCTAGATCCTGCCATTGCACTCCAGCCTGGGTGACAAGAGCAAAACTCCATTTAAAAAAAAAAAGGGGGGGGCCAGGCGCGGTGGCTCAAGCCTGTAATCCCAGCACTTTGGGAGGCCGAGGAGGGTGGATCACGAGGTCCAGAGATCGAGACCATCCTGGTCAACATGGTGAAACCCCGTCTCTACTAAAAATACAAAAAATTAGCTGGGCATGGTGGCGGGTGCCTGTAATCCCAGCTACTCAGGAGGCTGAGGCAGGAGAATTGCCTGAACCCAGGAGGTGGAGGTTGCGGTGAACCGAGATTGCGCCATTGCACTCCAGCCTGGGTAACAAGAGCAAAACTCCGTCTCAAAAATAAATAAATTAATTAATTAATTTAAAAAATAAAAAAAAGAAAGTAATACAAAGTTATAAATGCAAAATGAGGCCTGTGCAAACAAAGCCTGAAGCCTACCCTTTTCTTTTTCTTTTCTTTTTTCTTTTTTTTTTTTTTTTTTTTTTTTTTGATACGGAGTTTTTCTCTTGTTACCCAGGCTGGAGTGCAATGGCGTGATCTCGGCTCACCGCAACCTCCGCCTCCTGGGTTCAGGCAATTCTCCTGCCTCAGCCTCCTGAGTAGCTGGGATTACAGGCACCCGCCACCATGCCCAGCTAATTTTTTGTATTTTTAGTAGAGATGGGGTTTCACCATGTTGACCAGGATGGTCTAGATCTCTGGACCTTGTGATCCACCCGCCTCGGCCTCCCCAAGTGCTGGGATTACAGGCTTGAGCCACCGCGCCCGGCCGAGCCTACCCTTTTCTTAACCCCATAGTAAATCCCCCTCTGACTCTAACCAGTGACATTCAAACTGCAGTTATGATCTGTGAGAAGGTCCAGTGTGAAACACATTTAGCCAATGTCTTGTTTTTTTTTTAGCCAAGTCTTGTTTGTTTTTTTTTTTTATCTTAAAGAAATAGAATGGAACAGAAAAAGACCTTAACACATGCATGTAGTAAGGATAAGGTGTAATTTTGTACTTGGACCACTGTCGCAAACATTTGAGAAATACTGCTGCATAAGGAACACAGCAGCCCTCTGGATGGCCATCAATATTCCTATTTTCTCTTGGGCTGATGTTAGGGTTAAGGTGAAGCAGGGGAACTGAGGTATGCAATTTGCCCTCAGAGGATATCTGCCTCCTTACCCTCACCCCATCATCCAGCCCAGGACTTGGTCAACATGCTTCTCAGTCCTGCAGCTTACAGCCTGCTGGAAGGGGACATGCTGACCTGGCTCCGGGAGTCACTGTTCATCATACCTTGGAGAGCTTGCACCTGGACAGGTGCACAGGTGGCCTTAGAGAGACCATCAGGATGTTAGGGTGAGGGTTAGAGGTGTCCTTTCTCCCCAGGCCCCGTCCCTGCCCTGCTCGCATGTTCCAAAAGGTTAGTCCAGTCAGGAAAGCTACTGTGGATGCCATGCCTTATTGCACCCTCTTCTGTACCACTCTGACCTAGAGCCACGTTCCTGAGAACACTGAGTCCCCAAGCCTCCAGCGAGGCAGGTGTTATCATTCCTCATTTTGCAGAAGAGGAACCCTGAGGTTCCACAAGCTAAAGGAACTTTTCCAAGGTCACAGAACAGAGCCGGGAACTGAGCCAATGGTGGCTTTGGCTTCACCCATTACCCTCAAGAGTCCCAGTCAAGGTGGGGGGAGCCAGAGGAAAGAAGTCTGGGTAACTGCAGGTTCCTCCCTCTACAAAGATCCTGCCTTCTCTCCTTCATTCTCCATCCCCGCCCAGGCAAACCCACCCCCTCCGCATCCCAGATCCCAGATCCCAGGAAGACAATGCCCAGTGTCAGTGGGCAGTAGAGAGGGTGGAGCCAGCTGGAGTGGGGGCAGCAGTGGGGATATCGGGGAGGAGCTGGGGTCAGAACTCACGCCCCAGGGAGGAGGCTCGAGAGGGGCCGAGCCTCCGAGAGAGAATGAGCCCATTCAGAGCCAGGAAGCCAGAGGAAAAACCTCGTCTGGTGTCTGACAAGAGGAGAGGAAGGGGGGCAGGGGCAGGGGTGGGCGCTGCTGATTCGATTTTCTCCTTAACTATCCCTCCAGCAGGCCTGATAGGAAAGCCCAGGAAAGAGGATGTCTGAGGGACAAAGACAGTGAGGGGGACCCTCGGGGTAGTTGAGGGGGGCCTGGTGAGAGGGGTTAGCTAGGGGGCTGGGTAGAGGGAGCCGGAACACAGAGCAGGGTTGACTGCAGGACAGAGGGCAGCAAATCCAGATCAGGGCAGATTCATGTGTTTTGCCCAAGACCCCAGCCTGTGGGGGGGTGGAGTGACCCCTGACACCAGGTGGGTTCAGCAAATGAAACCATCTGGAGCAAAATGTTGCCCGACATCAAGACTTTGTGATTGCCGTAGTTGTATGCTTCTTGAAGCTTGCAACTTCGGTGTATGACACAGG